ATGCAATCGGTAGAACAGAAATCTTGGCACGGAATTCCGGAGACGAAAACTCTTTAAGGTTCTGAAACACACAATCAACGTTTGTATGTCGATTTGCAGAGGCCTTGAAGACATGATAATTCACTAGCAACAGCAACCATCACTCCGCAGTCCCCACCCGATGCAGTGGCGTTGAGCGTATGCGTTCACGCAGCCTTCAGAGAATTTGTGTGAAATAAGTACGGGTTATAGACCCTTGAGTAAAGTATAGTTCTCTGCGTGAGTTGAAGGTTTGGTTCTCTACTGGCTCGTAGTACATCTATTCTGTAAAAGCGTTATTGCACGACTTCATTTTGCATGACATAAATCCACCAACTGAATCAACATTTTGTAAAAGATTTAGCGCATTGGTTCTCCACGGTTCTAATCCCAGCCTGTACAAAAAGTATTATCGTATAGTAACCAAGCTTCAACAGTCGCAATGGTTTCATCACAAGACACTTTTAGTCAGCAACACACATTTGGGATCATCATATCGAATCCAAGCTACATTCTCATGACCTGACCCGTGTGAACTAACTCGTCCGGCCTTCTTTCCTTTAAGCGCAGACGATTACGAGATGTAGAGATCATGATCTTGTGTGACACAAGAGCATGCTCTTCTACTCTTGAGATGACTTCAGCAAGATGTCTCGTACTCTCTAAAGCTACCACTCAGGTGCTACATTTCAGCTCATAAACTCAAAGATTAATCTCTTGAAGAGATTTGATTTCCTTGTTTCCCGAGGATCCGGCTTCCGCTCTCACATTCAAAGACAATGAGGCTTTTCATCCTGGGGCTTGTACAATGTGATTAGGTTCAGAGCAGTAAAGCAACAAAATGATTGATATATAGATTTTTGGAGTGTCCTAAATTTTCAGACCTTACGCGATTCACTGTACTACAAGTACAAGTTCTGGATCTAGAGGTTACTATTTTATAGACTTTAAATCCTAGAGACCTAATTATGAGAACATTGCTTCAATCTTTTCAGTCACCTGTAGATGGCCACATTATATTCATCCACATCTTAGTTTTCTGGCAAATCTCAATAGCATAGTTGTAACTATCATTAATGCAGAGGAGGTTCAAAATCGACCGTTTCACCTATGTCACATTTCTTACAGTCAAGTAGCTTTTGGTTTGAAATAATAAGTTCATTTTTTTCCTAACTGTCTTATTTTTTTATGTTAATGGTTGGTGTTTTGTCTTTATTGATTTTGAAAATCACATATTCTATTTGTTTTGTTTTATGCTGCTAAAATGATGCAGCAAAGAAGGAAAAATTTCAAGTTCACTATGTGCATCAATTTTTTGCCATTTTTATAGTGAAAAAAAACTTTCGTTTGCACACATGAAAGCACATGATGAAAAATTTGGGTTGAAATTTATGGTTTGATATCTAAAATCGTCAAAAGTGATGGGTGTGCAATGTAAATTTTGCATTACATTTGGTCAAGAGTAAAAGTCAGATTCAAAACAAAAAATGTCATCTTCTGGTCAAGCATAAAATTCATACTTTCATTATGACAATATTGAACATCATCTTTGTAGCAAACACACTAGACTATAATTTGTGTATCAAACCTTAGAAACTTCTTCAGATAGTAATTTATGTTTTGAGTAATGACCAATTGCATTTAAAAATTCTCATAAAGTCCATTTCCCATCTTGTTTGAAAGTTGATTGAGATTTTGTACATGAAATTGAATGAGACATAATTGATATCATTATCAGAAATTTGATGTTCAACCTTGAAGAACAAGAAGAAAGCAATGTAAAAGATGAAGGAAAAGATGAACATCTGTTCGGTAATATGAGTGAAAATAATACGCAACTAATCTAACGAAGACAAGCAATCAAGTCCAAAGCACGTGTATTATCATTGTTTTGTCGTGTTGAATCTAAGTATGTTACTATAAAATATTTTTACTTAGTGACAATTTCCAAGACAAAAACAACATTGTTTTGCCTTGCTATGCGATACATGTCTTGCAGTACATCATTTCTTATAGCGTCCAAACTTGTCAATTGTACATATGATGTTTTGGGCAATCTTGCTTTACGTGTCTCTTCTCATCACGAAATTAGTAAATTTGTTCGGATAATCTGCGATGCCATTCTGCAAAAGATTGCGTAACTTCTTAGACGTTTGTGATCATTTTCATTAGCACTCGATTCAACGACACATCAAAGCACTTCATTTCTTGACATAGCTTCCAAATTTTTATTCGTAACTATCATTTGATTGTTTACTTGCATGGTTGTGCACTTCTGATGTTTGATCGTCACACATGTGAAGTTCTGTTCATAATGATGAGCAAGTTTTTTAGGGTGCTCTGTCTAGATTGAACAAATTGTCTTCTTGGTTTGACGATTGACGGGTCTCGCAATATGATTGATAGATTATTGGGGTCGTTATTCGTCTTTCCGACGTAATGCACAAGAATTGTTCTTTAATTCGAATTTTCTCAGATTGCATCGACTAGATCTTGTTATGGAGGAAATAATGAACAATGTCATCAAAAAATAATTTCATTTGTGATAATTGGATTCATTAGCCACCTAACACGGCAGCAGAATTGATCGCGGAAATGCAAACTACATTCCCTCGTGTTGTTAATCATTGGCTTTTCACAAAAAAGTAATCACTTGTTTCAAAATCCATCGAACTCAATTGATTGTTCAAATCATCTAGAAACAGCCAGTTTCCGCTCTACCTCAAATTTGATGGATTGCACTTTTTTCTATAAATCATTTCACCATTCAAGCATCTATCACTTTTTGTATTATTCAAGGTTTAACTTCTCTTGTACTTCGGGAGCAAAATGCATTGGATAACCTTGTGGCAACTTTCATTGTCGACATTGGAGTAATTGGACCGTTCAACGCAAATCAAATTGCAAATATTGATATATCCATTCACGTTATAGCCGATCATTATGCATTTGGTTTGTCCAATTTTCAAGAATTTTTCATTAGTCTGGGTTCTTGGGTTGAACCTTTAATTAACGAAGCCACTAAAAGCAATCTAAATGATCTTCAACAAGACATCGCTCTTGTTTGTGTCATTGTCTGCTATCGGATCCTTGAAATTTGTGATTATCGAGATTGAAATAACAATCCAATGATTGATTTTGATTCTATTTCTCCAATGTTACCACATGAGTTCATCAAACTATCCGTAACAGATATTATTTGAAAGATTTGACAATATGCTTTTCAATTGAAACATTTTTATTTATATGATCAGATTTATATCATAGTTTATGAGCACAAAGCTCTAATCCATGCTTATACATGTGAGCCATTGATTAAGAACGTAGTCGATTGGCCTTCCAACCGTTCAAGTTTCAAGTATGTCTCATATTCATTTGGTATTCAATTTTTGAATTTGATGCAATATTATGATGTAGTTGCACGGTTTTTTCTTGGAACTAGTACAATAAAGTTTGATTTTTCAATCTTGTGTTGGGAGAAAGATTTGTTTCGAAAAAACTACCAAACTTTGGATTCAAATGAGTCATGTAGAAAAAATAATCTTTTGTTCAAGCATGTACAAATGTTTAGTAGAGTTTTTGTATTAAAAACCTTGGATTAGAAGTAATCATGGAGTCACAACAATTTTTGTTTTGACTTTATGTTAAACTTTGTTTTTTTTAAATACTTTGTAGAAAATTTGTATTGAAAATTGTCGAAATAAATTTTTTGAAGAGACTAAACTAATCTAAATTAAATTTTTAGGAAACTGAATCAATCTAAATTAAAATTTTCAAAAGACTAAATTAGCCTAAATTAACGTTTTTGAGTAGACTAAATTTGTCTAAATTTATGCTGTAAGAAACTAATATTTAGGTAATTTAGGCGAGTGAATATTATAACCATGGTATGTATCTCACAAGCACACAATTCGTGGGCATGGCTTGGGTTCGGGTATAAATGTCAAGTGCAATGCAGGCCTAGCATCTCCACCATCCAATGTTTCATCAACTCAATGTTATATGGTGCTAGTTTGGCTTGGGTCTTGTATAATAAATATGTGTTTTTATAATTCTTTGATATTGAATATAATAATAATTATTTATAATTTAAGTTTAAAAATATACAAGATGGATCATTATTGGATAAATAAGATAATGGATATGTAAGTAAGATTCATGATTATAACAATCAGCAGTTTCACAAATGGGAATTCTGCAATTTTATTCTGGTGTTTCTCAATTGTATGCCGAACTGCGCAGCCCTGTATCAGACACCTTATATTCCAACTCACTGAAATACTTCACAAACAGTTTACACAAGTACCACTTACAACCACTTATGAAATAAAATTTCTCAAACCTAAAAAAATGCACAACGATACCTCTTTGAAAGCATAAATCAAAACACCTCAGTGCATCTATAAGAGTGCAATTTTAAATTGCATGAACTTAGAAACCGCCCTGGGCGATGTGGATCTAGTCCGCTTTAATAAGCCTTTCTGGAACTAGAGACTTTAGATACATTGGAAAGTCAAGGGAGATGGATAATAAATTCCGAAAGAAACATCATTCTCCATCATAACATCATAAATCTTCAGTTTCCAGATGCGACTGTTAAAATTTCGAATCAATCACCTAAAATATAGTCGCAAAGAATTTTACGGCTCTGTTTGGACGTCGGCATCAGGGAGACGTCCAAGGCGTTGTTTCCATCTAATGAATTTTACGGCGAATTTTACGGCGTTTACGACTGAATTATCGGCGTTTAACACCAAATAAATCGTTCCTACCCGCGCAGAGTTGCAATTTGTGTAACGTTTAAGGGATTTCAAGCCTACTGCGGACCAGAGGATAATAACTGCGCAGACCCCTTCGCACTGCGCACTTACTCGGTCGGGTCTAGTGGCAGGGTGACGAGGAATGACAACTTCAGCCACGTGGCAAGGCTCTTCGGCCATTCGGCCATGCGACCAAACTGCTCTGTTCCTGCCTTCTTCCGTCTCCAAGCCCCCAACTGTTCTCCAAAGCAACATTGGCCTGCAATCTTTGCTGCAGAGTCCTCGAATTGGGCCCCCACTCATCGGAGTTTTTTCTTCGCCTGACGAATTTCTGCGTGTTCCGATCGGACAGGCCGAGAATTCTTATCTCCATGCCTACTGCTGCGGATGTAATGCTTCAGGTTGTACCCATTAATCTGTCGGAGTGTGTTGCAGATCGTGGCGTTCGTTCCTCCATATCACGATCAGGGGAGAGGTTTGTGATGGCTGCTCTGTCCGTGTTGCATTCTAGGAGCGGGAACTTAAAATCAATGTCTTTTGGCGTCCTCAATGCCAGGGCTTGTGAGGAACTTTCTTTCTGAGCGAGTGGGTGCTTCTCCGAAACGAATTAACGAGCGATCGGTGGTGACAACCATGATGAATCTGGACGGAGGACGAGAAGAGATTGAAGAACAACTGAATCTCAAGATTTTTTACGAGCAAAGATCCAATGAAGCCCTCAGTGGAAAGTATCGTTGCTCGGAGGCGGAGGCTGTCCAGCGAGTACGATGCCAAGCACGGAATCGTGAGGAAGGAGGATGTTTTTCGCCCTGCACCGCAAGTCCCTTCATCAGCCATTTCAGATTCGTCTCCCGTCCCCCTCCATGGCCCAGAATATGGAACAGCAGTGGCGGATCCCAGGACGCAAGGAAGTTCAAGTGGATTTGGAGTTGATGCTGCCAGTCCACAACACCTCGGAAACGGGCAGGAGGATATTTGCCACACACCCAAATTCGACATGAAGCTTCCATCCTTCGAAGATATCGTCGCCCGAAGGCGAAGGCAGCCGGATTCTTCAGATTCTCAGCCAGGGGATATTGCAGAGAGAGACGCCGAAGAATGGGAAGCTGCCACGCCGGCGCTGATACGAGCACTCGAAGCAGCTGGGTGCTGCGCCACACCTCGAACATCTGGCGCTCGTAGGCGGAGTCTGGACAGTTTCGCTCCTCCCCTGGAATTCGATATCGACGAATTTGCTTCGGATGACAGCACTGAAGGCAATTATGGGCAGCCTTATGCACGAGGTGAAGGAAGGAAGGAAGGGGTGGAACAAACGAACTCATCGTCGCAGCTGGAACGAGAGTCTAGGACCAACCCAACGCAGGCCACTCCAAGTGCCGAGGCCGAACATGTGCACGAGTACACGAAGAAATCTGAGATTGAAGAGCGAATTGAAGGTTCCGTGTCGCATTTTCTGCCTCCAAGAAATTGTCCCGTTGTCAGGCAGCAGAAGCAGGAAAGGTGCACGGGTTCTGGGCTGGGGCGCCACATGTATGTGGTACCTCCTCCGAGACGTCGTGTGGAGTTGTCTGAATATTTCGTAGGGGAGGTGGTGATTGTCAAACGAGACAGGCACGTCTGGGTGTTCGGCCAGGTGAAGATGCTGGGCTGGACAGGGATCAAGGTGTGGGTTCCAAGTGTGGCGATTATGGTGAACGTCCCCCTGGAGATTATGTATACTCACTTGAGAAAGCTGGAGGACGAGGAGCTGCAGAAGAAGTCAGAGTTGGCAATTCCTCGAGGATCGGCAGAGGACGACGAAGACGAGCAAGATCGGATACCACTTCCTGCAACATTTCACCGGAGGAAAGACCTGGTGATCGCATCTCGCAAGCCCCCTACAAATTCAACACAGGTGCATCTTGTGAGACCAGCACACCTGGCTCACAGAACCCTCTATCAACCTTTCAAATCATCAGTCTCATGCACCATATGCTTCCAGCTCATGTCACTCATGGATGCCCACAAGCCTTGGGGTTGTGCCCATTCCTGCCACTTGTTCTGCTATGAGCTTTTTGTTCAGAGCACCAGCTCCACTACATGCAACACCTGTTCCACCGGTAAAACGTGGGACTGGAAAATAATCTCTTGCAAATGCGGATTCTCAGGATTTGTGCGTAAAAAAGTGGACGATTTAGATCCGCCTCCAGTGTGTCCATCGTGTCTTAAGCTCACACCTAGACTCATCCCTTACCAAGCTGCTCCCACCAGAGTATCACAACCAGAGTCCAGACCGAGCACAGGAGCTACCAGCTCCAGCAGCAATCCGGGTGGATTGACGACAACAGCCTCTCAGGCATCTGATTCCAGCTCGGAAACTTGGGCTACAGAAGCGGTAATCAAGTTACCTAGACACGCAATAAACATAGACGATTCGGAATGGAGGCGAGTGGAATGCGATTGTGGACTGCAGGCGACGCTCAGAGCGGATGCGGATCCCAGCAAGCCCCTAATTTGCCCAGCCTGCTCTGTCCAGATAACGAAGTGGATCATACCCAGCAGAGACGATCTCCTCAAATCTCTTTTGGGGTACACCCCGCTAGACTCACCTACTTCTGGTTCTTCGCCCGCTTACTCTTGTTCATCGCAACCAGTTTCTCCTCTTCCCCTCCCAAAAATCAAAACTCCCGCATCATCGGACTTTTCATTGTTTGATGGCTTGAAACGTCAAAGGGAATCTCCATCCAAGTTATTGGCACCGATAAATACTCCTTCGTCCAGGCTGAGTTCTCCTTCGCCAGCTGGATCCGGTCAGAGCAATGATAGCAGTCCTATGTCTGATCAAACCTCACATCAAGGCAGTTTCACTACACCTGTGACACATTTACCCGTCCCTCCATCTTCCGTGCATGACTTTCCATCTCCATCTCCATCTCCGTGCACATCGTCGAGTGAACTCCAATCCCCAGCTCCATCTCAGTACAAGCAGTTGTCAACACAGCTCGGTTCAAGCGGAGGAACAAAAGCAGAACAAAAGCCTTCTAGTCCAGCGATCGCGCCTTCACCTCGTAGACCGCCGAGATCACCGGCTCCAACTCCTAAGAGTGGGCCTTCTTCTCCTCCGACATCTCCTGATTCCAGCAATCAGTTCGAAAAATCGACGCCACAGGCAAATAGGCCTCGTCAACTGCCTACAGATTCCTTGAGCTTTCGCCTTACACCAGGTCAGATAAGGCAGAAAATGAAAGATCAAGCCAAGAAGCAAACCACTGAAATACTAATGGCGACGTCAAACGAACCAGAACAGATGCCGCCGACCTCATTAGCAACTAGCAGACGAGATATGCCGGCAGACTCCGTGTCTATGTGGGTGACAGCTGCCAAAGTCAAAGAGAAGCTTCGGGAAGAAGAGCTTCGTACGCAGCAGATACAGGATCCACCGACACTCAAAAATCTGGCTCCACCTTCACTTCCAGAACAAGCTCCCTTTACGGCACTGGAGAGCTCTTCATCAGCAGCATCTATCAAACGAGTGGCATGGGAAAGAGACAATCCGCAGCAGATGCCAGAGCCACCATCAGTCCAAATTCAACCTCCACCTCCAGCTCAGCTGCTAAAGCAAGGTTCGCCGACAATGGCCAAGAAATCTTCAGTGACAGACTCCGTTCCTATGTGGTTGACACCAGAGATGATCAAGCAAATGGCAATTGAAGAAGAGAGTCGGCAGCTAGGAGAGGATTCAAATGCACCTGCCCAGAAAATGACAACCATACAACAAGGGCCGCCACAGTCTAAGCCTGCAGTCCAGAAACAACCTCCGCTACCAGCCCAAAGGCGAGACATGCCCGCAGACTCCATATCTATGTGGATGACACCAGCAAAGGTAAAGAAGATGATGATGGAAGAATCTCAGAAACAGCAAAACGATCCACCTAAAGCTCTCAGAAGGGACTTGCCTACAGACTCGGTATCTCTGTGGATGACACCAGCCAAGCTGAAACAGATGGCTCTGGAAGAGAATAGTCGAAGTCAAGTTCAAGAAACGATTCGACCTTTGATTATTGGTGAAGAGCTTCGAAAACCTATAGCTAAAATCGAAGAAGAGCCAGAGGCTAGCATGATAGATGACGAGGAGCTGAGCATCCACATTCCAGGTCCATCTACGTCCACTAAACGAGCCTTGCCTGCAGATTCTCTGTCTCTATATCAAGTGAAGAAAATCATGGAAGCGAAAGCACAAAAAAGCATTCCTGGATTCGTCCCCTCGTCATCAGCATCTGCAGCTGTGGGAACAGTAGAGGAAGCAGAGCTTCGAAAACCTATAGCTAAAATCGAAGAAGAGTCAGAGGCTAGCCTGATAGGTGGCGAGGAGCTGAGCGTCCAGATGCCACGTCCATCTACGTCCACTAAACGAGCATTGCCTGCAGATTCTCTGTCTCTTTATCAAGTGAAGAAAATCATGGAAGCAAAAGCAAAACAAAGCATTTCTGGGTTCGTCCCCTTATCATCAACACCTGCAGCTTTGGGAACGATAGAGGAAGCAGAGCTTCGGAAACCTATAGCTAAAATCGAAGAAGAGTCGGAGGCTAGCGTGATAGATGACGAAGAGCTGAGCATCCAAATGCCAGGTCCATCTATGTCCACTAAACGAGCCTTGCCTGCAGATTCTCTGTCTCTTTATCAAGTGAAGAAAATCATGGAAGCAAAAGCAAAACAAAGCATTCCTGGGTTCGTCCCCTTATCATCAGCATCTGCAGCTTTGGGAACGATAGAGGAAGCAGAGCTTCGGAAACCTATAGCTAAAATCGAAGAAGAGTCGGAGGCTAGCGTGATAGATGACGAGGAGCTGAGCATCCAAATGCCAGGTCCATCTACGTCCACTAAACGAGCCTTGCCTGCAGATTCTCTGTCTCTTTATCAAGTGAAGAAAATCATGGAAGCGAAAGCACAACAAAGCAATCCTGGGTTCGTCCCCTTATCATCAGCATCTCAAGCTTTGGGATCAGTAGAGGAAGCAGATGCGGCTGAAGAAGATGTAAGTACTTCTACACCACAGACAACGAAGCCAGTTCAGACTCTGAAGAAACTCCCACTCAAACTGCAAGAGATCCCCGAAGAAGAAGAAGTGACACACAGGCTGAGTCCTGCAACACCAAGTTCACTCTCCTCCGCTTCTTCATCTTCTTCATCTTCGTCTCAAGAGCAGCTTCCTGAGCCCACGAGTCTAGCCACTAGACTGCAGAAACTGAAAGCCAAAAAATCCCAAACCTCACCTCCACATGTGATCCCAGACACCCTCAATCAACCAGACCAACCCTCTGGTGTCCCAGAAAATGGCTGGATCACCATTGTTAGAGATGGTCAAGCTAGGTAAGCTGAACATCAATAGAAAACAACAAGAAGACAACGAATGAACTAGTGTCCACGCCTGGATCACGTGGGAGACCTCCAGACTTCGTGCCTGAGGCGATGATGGTCTCTTCTTTGACGCTCCACGCACGTGAATACACACGAAGTGAAGCCTGCCGCTCAGTGGGTAAGCTCACAGTGCATGCGTACTCACACTCAGATGCACCTACTTTGCTCGCAGCCTGGCACAAATTGGATCTTCTAAGACTGCACAACTGAGCTGAGGGCGATGTTCCACACTCGGGCACCCAGATACTGAGCAGTCAGATTTGGTCACTCTGGTCATGGTGAAGGACACAGGAAGATCAAGGACATCTAGAAGAAGGCTGCAGTACGTTTCGTACAGCCACTGGCACTTGGAGCTTCTCATATAGATGGCGAATCAAAGGAAGCTGTAATGCGTGCGCTTCAACTGGACTAATTACTGGGCTAACATGCAAGGAAAATATCTGATTGAGCAATAAGCTCCAATTATCAAAGCGTAGATGACTCTCTTCACTGAGCTGAAGTCGGATCTACTCGTGTGACCAAATCAAAAGCAGCTCATCATTGCAGTGGCCGCTATATGCATCATGACGTGCGCGAGTCCAGTCAAATGTGACTCAGAATCCCTAGGCGATCAGGACGGTTCATTCCGAATATAGATTGCTTATCACGATAATAGGCGCTCTCGCGAAAACGTGTCTGATTTTTCAGCGATTCTTACTGCAATATTTCATTGGGTATTTCACTGAGCCGCATACGTTCCATTGTAGCATATCTGATAGTGTAAGAGCAGCTGGATACTGCATATAGATCGCAGTGCTCATTTCTGACTCATTAGATAAGAGATCTTCGTAGAAAGCAATTTAGTAATATTCCACCTGAAGTAAAGATTATGTATTTCAACAGCAAACAACGCAACAATATCTGATTTCACAGAAGATGGGCAGGGCCCTCTATCCACAGCAGAGGAGTCCAAAAGAGCAAATCCTCGCGGAGAAAACGATGTAGCGGACAAAATATGTTGTAAATCTACAGCCTTTAATAACAGCCTTTGATGAGAATGCTTCAGGTCCAGACTTCCTGAGAAACCTGCGATGTAATGTGTACCAATGCAAGTAGTTGCCTATCAGTGGCGAAAATTCCTTCCATTGAAGAGTGCTTTCTACATGTCTACAATTGCTGTAGGTTAGAAGACACTGCAAGTGAGTGCCCAACCGAATATCATATACATCAGTATAGATTTTGCTAGTTCATATCATCTTCATATTGCTGAGTTACAGAGAGTTTCAGAAACCAGTTTTAGATAAACGTGAGAAGACAGCGTCAGGGTTTGCACATGTCCATATCCATCACGGGTTCACTAGAGAGTCCGATGTTTCAATTGTGGAATGTTTGGAAGGGATATTGGGATATTTTCTAACAACCGAGACGTGTCAATTCATTCCTGCCCGAACTTTACAAACTATGCGTCATGTGTCACGAATCCCGAGCTTCGTACATCAATTCATCATCAATTTGTATGAATCTTGAACAGCTTAATACCGTGGTACGGCAACTCTCGTGCAAATGTGTCTAGTACCGAATAAAGATTTTAGATTCATACGTCCAAGGCTAGTGAGCCTAAAGTGGAGGTGCTTCTCGTGTTTCCCACGTGGGTCGTGCAATACCCTCAGGAGAATACAGGGCTCCTGGCCGGATTCACCTCTCGAATAAATAATTCCTTCAGATATGGAGAAGATTCGAGGGACAGGGCAATCTTCTTTCCTATTATTAGGAGCTTGAATCAGAAGTTGACTGGAGTTGATGACAGAACCTGGAAAAATATTCCTGCAGGCTTGTGTGCTACACAGACTGCTGTAGATCTTTCTTCCCTTTGATCCATAATTTTACATTTCTCATCCGCTATTGCCTGCGGCCTCTTAAACAACCCGACGAGAAAAGCATGGTGGCGAATGTGTAGAGCAAAGAAGCATATTAAACATGGAAATCGTATATTGCAACAACAGTGCCTGGCTCTCCGCAGAGAGGAGTTTTCGGTAAATGAGAATTGTTGCAAAATAGAATAAAGCCTTATGTGACGTATGTAGCAAACGGGGTCACAGTGACTCGACCTTGTCATGCAGTACTTTTGAACGAATGTAAGTCGTTGCAAATCATTGAGCTCTTCTGTCTCAATTCTAACTTTAGATTGTTCGGATTTGACCTCGTCACTCACTGAGATTTTCACGAGCTCTTACACAGCCTATCGACCAAGCAATGTATAGGTAAGCTACAAGCTCCGACTGTGCTCCAAACACAAGGTCATACCACTGTCCGTTGTGGGGTACGAATAGCGAACATTTCCCCTTCCAGGCGCTTCACCCCGAAGAGAATCGAATCTATAAACTGGCTGGCGTTTTATTTACAGAATTTGTGCTTCCATACATGTCTCAACAATGAGACTCTTTCAAGCTTCTGATCAACACCAGCTCAGTATCTGAAACGCATACCAACAGCAAATGCATGCTTCCCATCGGACTCCAGATATCACGTATCCAGTGCAATGTAGTACTGGACGTTATTACGTGGCAAGCTGACAACCTTCCCTCTTCCACGAAATCCGTTCACTGTAATTGTACACATCTATGCTGAGATCTTCTCTCTCCACAGCTTGATGATCTGTTCTCTCCAAAGTGCATCGCTGTTATTCTTCACACGGTATGCCACCATTTGGAACGACTCGGTCCGCCTCTTGGACACCGGTCCAACGTCAAAGACTTTTTGATGTCGTCGTGATGTTACCACGAATGTCGTCGTGATGTTACCACCACCAGAGCTCACAAATTCTGTCTTGTATGAGCACAAATTACGGCCCCTTCAGATCTACCACTGTTGCCTCAATTTTGTGATCGTTTATGGGACTTCCTGCTCACGTCCAACATCAAACTCCTGTGCTGAAGGTCTACAGAGGCAAAGAGTACGGAAAGTACAAGGGCACATGTTAGAAAAGGAGACACGAATAAAAGATGTACGGGTGATCCACTGGATCGAGAGCTTTAGAGGACAGGTGGTAAGTGCTACAAATAGGGTATCAACAGATGTAAAAAGTTGTAATTTTGAAATGCTAACAAGTAACTAAAATAAAACGTTATGGATAGATAAAACCGATCTGATCGCCTTGAAAGGTCGTCGCAAATTTTCCGATGTACATTATCGGAACTACAAGAAGTAATAATGGCAATCACCAAGAAGAAAAACAGGAAGAGATGAGGAGAATTGTTCATGATTTGTCGTCACGAGTTCTCAGAACTAGGCATCGGAGTATCCAGCATTGTATCTGAGTAGTTCCAAGATCAAGGCAAGATCAAGGCACCCGTTGTTGTAGCATGGGTCTTGATCGCACCAATATCTTCCCTTTTATATTTTTCCATTTCTTGCGCAGATTTAACTTTGCCGTGAGGAAGGAGGAGATGACAATACACATCAGACTCATGACAATGATATCTTTCATATCTTAGGTTTTGACTGATACGATTAATGTTACAGGAAGTGGACTCGTTCTGAACAAATATACGACGCCTTCATCGTGGGCATAAACCGCCCACGATCTGACTCAGATGTTAGCACAATCCACTATCTGGGCCTTCTGGAGAGCCCCATGCTCACACGCGTCATTCTCATCGGCACTCACTCATCAGACTCTCTTCGAGGCCTAAATCGCTGAAAGATAGTAGGTTTATGTGATGACTTTGTTGACACATGTCCGACACATGTCCGACACACGTCCTGACCTTCAAGTTGAAACTTAAAATTTTGAACCCGCAATCTTGGACGTATTTGCAGTCATTTTGTTGAGAGGGAAGAATGCACATTATGACACACGTCAGGAGATCAACATTATGATTCTTTCCGGAATATTAAGTTGCACGACTCCAAACACTCGTCAAGCTAATATATGTTTGTATATATCAAAATAGCAGACAGAATTGAATTCTGTACTGTACCTCCCACCTGAGCGAAAAACTGTCATTTTAGCTTAAAAGGACCCCTAAATAAAGTACGCACATACGAAATATTACGCTATCAGTGTATATTACCTTAAGCAGTTTTTACTTCCCTTAATTAGTGCATGTGAGTCTGTACCTCTCATGAATATAGACACTGACATCAGTCTAGGAAGCACAGATTATGGAATTGTACATATAAATGGTTTGTACGGATTGAAGACTGAAGATTTAGACCAAGGTTAAGCTATGTAAAGCTGTCTAAGCTCAATCCTTGAACCCTCTTTCCACCAGCTGGAGGAAATTAAATTATTCCACTGTCAAACTTGTGGCGAAGCCTAATGTCTATGCACAACAACATGTCAAACAAACTATTACACACTTATCATATATTTTTTTCAATTCGTAAGTAGGTTACATGAAGCAACAGTCGTCACTTGAGAGGAGAAGTAATAGTTAGAAGCATGTTCACAGTATTCTTACCTACATCCATGACTCCGCAAGATCTTAGCATCTTTTGAATTTGGTACGTTTAATAGTCTCCTTACAACAGGATGGAAAGTGTGAACACGAAGTTTTTTGGAAAAGAATCTGATATGAACCGAATCTAGCTTAAGAGATATTCCTTTATACGCATTTGCATCTTCAGAAACTTGACGTGAGTTGCTTCAGTGCTACGTGGAGCATAGTGAATGAGCTCTTAACTTCTGTAATGCAGCAGCCTGAACAGAAGCACTCCTCAATCAAACACCGTACTTCGTGCACCTCTAATCCACGTTCTGCACTTCTGGTCTCTTCTTGATTCACTCTTCTGAGTCATAATGACATGCAATTATCTAATAGACTCCCTGAAGACAACAAAGTTGCTTAAAAAATATCCCTACCGTATTCAATTCTGGTTCAGCGCATTGGTCAGTTATCAAAACCTCGAATTAAACTTCACGTGATCTCTCCATTTTCTTTGGGAGGTCATCAGTCACATCCGAAACGTCGCAACCTGCAAGAGTTGTGAGGAAAAGATACGAATATATACTTCGACATGAAGTTTTCGCTAAAGTTAAATCGTACTCATGTTACAAGGAAGATGCGGGCCCCCTACTCTTTCGGCCTCAGGATTTGTTTCATTGCGTTATCCCTATATGTGGAGTAGAGAATGCTCACATACTTAAAAATCAAAACTGAATCCCAAGGTACTGAGTTCTCGTAGTCCTTTTCTAATCAAGAAGTGCGGATAAAGTCACTCCTGAGCAGCTAAAGGTCATGTGAAAAATGAAAACCTCTAGGTGAAATGACTTTCTTCCAAAAATGTAATGTGGTAATTTACCATCCGCGAAAAACATTAGCTCCTGCAGACTTAGAACTGAGCAGCAAACCCATCGGACTGAAGGCAATAAGCTGATGTTTCTGCCCTATGAATAGGCCCAACTTAGCCTGGAGCCGATTTTATGAAGGCTCCATTCCATTTAGCGAAATCGGAATATGTTCCACGAACCACGTCATGGGCTTCGTATCTAAGACTTTTCTTTCCAGATGCACAGTAAGCAAATGTCGACACTGGTTAGCAGCCAGCTGGTAAATTAGAGCTATAAAGATCGGCTGCCACTATATACGGTAAAAGTGCATCAGAATAAAACTCGAATTTGTAGTAATGAGACATTTAGCCTGGTTGCCATAGATCTCAAGAGATTCAGGGGTTACAGTGAAGAAGCTGGGAGAGGTTCTGCTTGTAAATTTGAAATGTCATAATCCATCATGACGGTTCTTCTGCTTTCAGTTGACGCAGTCGACGTCAGGAGAAGGTGCTCTGCTACATGTGCAAGAGTGGGAGTTTTCAGCAGAGGTCACTTCTCTTTCTCAAAAGGATTGGTGCTCTCAAATCGAGGCAGGGATCGGGCGGTGTGATACCGGAGACGGTAGTATCGCAGCAGAAAGCTTGACTCACTCTCTCTCTCTCTGACGATTTTGAGTGTCCAGGCCGAGGCTCATCCATCGACCGCGAAGACTTTCAGATTCTTCCACGCAGGTCATGCTCATGCAGGTTGCGTCCACATGCTAGCTGTACAAGCGAAACAAGAGTTTCAGAAGAAGCCTCGATCCGGAAATGCTTATTATGCCGGACCCAGGAAGGGACAGCCAAAGCCTTTTGTGTCCGAATCGCATGCTTGAGCTTCCATGTGAATGCACCAAAAGCACATCGTGAATGCAGACAACACTGGCTGCGAGGAATTCCGAAAAGGCGGTGATCAGAGCCTGCTGAGATCAACCGGACGAGGTTCAGCCGTCAGCCGTCACGAGCACTGTCAGTCGCCATCATCGAGGCGCAAGCTGAAGCTCGAGTCCAAAGTTCAGACATAGAGGCACTGGGATCACAAGGGCCCGTCGAGAGTCACTCGGATCAAAACGTGAGCTCGGACGAGTTCCGATCACCGACAGGATGTCCACAAAACCGGTCCAAACCCAAGGATTGGGGCAGGGCAAGGGCTACTCGGACCGACCAGTGTTCGTGGGAGTGCGCACTCTGATCGTCGTCTGCATGCTGCTGACTCTGACGCTCATCCTCGTCACCGTCAGGCCGATGGAAGTTCTCTACGGCAGCTTGCCGGCGTGCATGAACGGCGGCGACGCCCATCGGTCGCAGGGCGACCGACCCCGACTGAAGGTCATCCCCGAGTGGCAGGAGCCGGCAGTCACAGCGGACCGCGAGGCGGAGAAGCTCCACGACGCCAGGTACGGCACGGCGCGCCGCTTCGTGCCCATGGGAACGGCCACCTTCCTCTTCGTCCACATCTCGTCCTACCGCTTGGGCCCGAGCAGCTTCGGCGTGGTCGGCCTGGGCGCGACGGACGTGTTCCGCTACTCGAACCCGGCCTTCTTCTGCTCGTGGCACCCGCACGTCGCGACCCTCGCCGCGCCGGTCGTCCACTGCAACGGCACCGCCATCCAGCCCGATCCCCGGCACGTGAGCTTCGGCCGCCAGTACACGGGCACCGTGGTGTCATGCGACTTCGCATCGCCCGTCGGCGTCGACGGCGCGGGCGGGCACCTCGTCGTCACGGCCACCCACGGCAGCGACGACCTGTCGGCGCTGGACGATGTCATGTTCGTCGCTAAAACCGAGAGCCCCGGGCAGTACAATGCCTCGTTGTTCCGGGCGCCGTACGAGTTCGACCACGTCTACTGCGGCAACGGCATGTATGGCGACTGGGTCAATCCCCGGCGAGTCCGCGAGTGGCTCGCTTACCACGTGAGATACTTCGGCCCGAGGTCGCACTTCTTCCTGTACGATGCTGGAGCTCTCGACGACGATGTCCGCAAGGTGCTGCAGCCGTGGGTGGATTTGGGCCGTGTCACCATCACCAATGTCAGGCAGGAGAGCCGCTTCAGTACTCACATTCACAGCCAGTTCGCCATCCTCAGCGACTGCCTGTTGCGGTCCAGGACCTTGTCCACATGGACCTGGTTCTTCGATCTGGACGAGTACATCGTCAATCCTCCGGGCTTCGACCTGCAGCAAACGCTGGAGCAGGTCCAGAAGGACTTTTGGGGCAGCAATTTGAAGAGAGTTTCCCTCAAGCAGATTCCCATGGATTTCAAGCATTGTCAGCGGACTGCTGATCCGACCAAACAGGAGAGGTAGGAAACAAGGCCTCGATTGCTTTCTTTCTCTTCTTTCTCGTGCATGATTGCACGGAACATATGAGATTGTCATTATCTGCATTGTGTAGATTTCATGACCACCTTAGAAGACGAGATATACTTGTATTGCTCGCAATGGTTGGAGATGTCATTTTGGAGTGTATTGAGTTCATGGACCTTCAACCATCTGCAACGAGGAATGATTATTTTCTGTTTGTAATCCTTGGGCATGTCATTCCTGTATGATGAACCTTCGACCATCTAACGGGCTGATTTGGTATTTGTGCAATCAGTGAGTGGGCCATCGAGAAGCTTGTGTACAGGCGAACGGAAGCCATCGAGTTGGAAGGTCACATGGACAGGAAGTCTTTTGTGAGATCAGACTCGGCTCTGGCGATGGGACCTCACGAGCCACCGGAGGGAGGTATGATACTGGCCGAGGGGGAGGATGTCGGCAGTGTGACTATATGGACAGATAAATTTTCCTACTACCATTACCATGGTACTACAACCAGGAAGGATTTAGAGCTTTGCCAGGAGTTGGTGGATCCCGGTGTCAATGTTACCACTTTCAGCGACATCGAGCACCAGTTTGAGACCTTTCAGAACGTGTCCCACCAACTCGATCTCTCCATGAAAGCCTTCGCAGAAGAAGTGAAAGAGTTTGAGACAAGCATGATCGGCTCATGAGCCAGAAGTAGATCGCAAGATATCTATGATTCATGGTTCTACGACAACCAACACATACATTCCATGGCAGGAAAAAAGCTCCTGTCATCGATGACCTGCTTGAGGAACGACGCCCTATATCAGTCAACTTCGAACAAGTGCATGCATCTTCGACCTCTCGAGACATGATTTCGAGGAACAGCTCGGATGTTTGAGGAACAATTGAAGCTGGTAAGAGCTCAATACAACAAGGTCTGAGTCCTGCGAGCACACACAGACATTGCTGAATCTGGCGGCTCAGATAAGAAGTTGCGGATTCTGCTACATACCCGGGAGCAGTGGACTCCCTTCAAATAGTAGAGGCTTAGGCACCCGCAGAACTCCAGATATTCAGTGGATCAACAGATGTCATCGAGCAGGTGTTACGTTCATGGCGGTAGAGAGAGAGAGAAAGAGAGACCGAGCGAGATCTTCAATTCGCTAGCAAGAGCTCTCAAGCTAGGTCGATCTCAACAGCAAAGAGAATCCATGAGCGTATGATTTCGATATCGAAGTCCGAAAACGTCGGTGATCCTTTTGTAAAATAAGCCAACTTGAAATAATGTTACAGTCTTTTACATTCCACAGAAAATGCTCGGACATGATTGTGTAGTGCTTGCAGTTTAGGGAGCATTTTGGCGTTTGTATGTTTCGACACTGTGTCATGGGCTTACTTCTTGCTTCTTCCTGCTCCTGTCCCTGCTGCCATCCATGGAACTGTGTATGATAAATATAAACAGGTGGACTTGAAGCCCATCCAAGGATACGAACATTCTGAACCTGGTGATCTGAAGCATCGCATTTGCTTGCTTGGCCATCGTGATGCTGGTTTTTCATCATAGATCCGTTTCTCCCAAATTAGAGAACGTAGTCTTCTCCCAGAATCGACTGTTCCAAGAAGCCGACGTGCAAGGGCTGGGAAGAGCTTCAAGTGTGCAAGAAGAAGTGATGATCAGGAGGAGCTATGGACGAGGTCATGACGAGAGGTCAAGCACCGGCTATCTCATGATGGATCCCCGCCATCTTCGTTCGCTGATGACCGAAAGCAACCCTCACTGAAGCAGCTCTTGTCTCAGAGGACTACAGATCATTCTCCTGAATAACTCGGAGGAGCCCATCATTGTCTATGAAACCTCTGTTGCTATACGAAAGACTCGCGCTTTCGTGGAAGGTGCTGAATATCACTCTATCGTCTTCTGGAGTTTAAATTTTGCATCAGATAATGGCGAAAAAGGGTGAAAATGGCTACAGTCGTTGAGAAGAAAAGATCATCATGCAGAAATTGGAAGCAAAGCTGTGTGCTTGTCCATCCTCTGGGTCCACAACAGCTCAGCACATTTCGAGATTGAGGTAATGATGGAGGATTCCGAGTCTGTAGCTCTTTCGCCACAGTCACATTGTCACATTATGGGCCGAGTGTCACGTCGATCAATTCAACTGCTTAGCTGATGAAAATGACTATTCATTCCTCCTCTAGTATGTTTTATGACCATCCCGTCAAACCAGTTCTTCTCCAATGGCATGCCAAGAACATGGACAGGAACTAAGTGCTTCGTGAGGAGCGTAGGGAAGCATTAGTCCCTCTCCATAATCAGCACTGCAAAGAAAGTTCGCGTTCTCGAGTCAACGACTAGCACGCACCGACTACATCTTTTCGGTGGATCATTATTAAGGATGACAGTAATTTTCTAAATGCTCTAGTGGGCTCGTCTAGAAGCTCATTCGTTTGGTTCCATGGTTCTCTCCTTCCTTGCAGTCACTAGCTTATGACCGGGGTGCCATCGATCAAAGGCGGTGCTGTTGGTATGCTCTTGGACTGTCGGTGCTTGCTTGGCCCAACTGCTGCAAGACGAGAAGGGTCTAAAGTTAGATATCACGTTACACATCATCTGGTCACAACAGAGAATGGAACCTACTCTGCCTTGCCCATCCATGATTCCCATGCAGCTCACGCCCAAGCCCATTCCCGGCCTGGACCTGTGGCCTTCAACTGTTTCTCCTTGTACCAGGGACCTCAGATTCCTCAGCACAAGACCTCTTGGATCTACACTCAATCCAGTGATGGAGTTCATGTCCATATGTCGCTGCATAACAACAACAGCATAGACAACCTCCATAAGTGTGATTGATGCACACTACCCAAACACTCTAGGTTTAAACTTCACACCATATACACGAATTAGATTATCCAGTTGAGCACTTTAGATTTCTTATGTACACATCCTCTGCGACGATCTGATGTTGATGTTTCTTCTCCGCGGGCTCTTTGAGGCTTTTTGAACCTTGAGCCCACGATGAGTTCAGACCACAGCACAAGAGATGATCTTGAACTTCGAATAAGAGGTGTGAAGGTGATCACGTCCTGAAGTTTTGTTTGCATCCCCTTCAGTAAGTTATATTCTTTTGTTGTAATAGTGCCACTTCTTGAGAGACGAGATTTGGCCAAGCGGTAATAATAGATAGCAAATGGATAACCAAATGAGACATGACAGGTTTCAAATTCATTTATGGAATTAAGCAGCAGGATCCACTGACTCGAAGGATACGCCTGAATAGGTTCATCAATATACATCTGCGTGCGAGACCTGGATAATATCAATTGGTCTGGCCTTGGAATAGTTGGGAAGTCTTAGGGTATATGTTTTCAATATGTTTACTTTGATGTAAATTATAAGATTGGTTAGTCGGCACCAATTTGATGCAAATTAATTCTACATAGCGAGGCTGGGCTTTAAATATTTTTAATTCTAAAGGTTAGCAGTAATTATGGAATTTATTGTGGACAGAGGTATCAACTAAATGGTCATTATGAGAAATTGAGATAATATTTTTCTAGGAAAAGTTACTCTCAAAACCTTGCGCACCAGTGATACAAAAACTGTCATTATTTTCAGAACCAAGACACACGGTCAAGAGATTGCAAAAAAATTACATTAAATTTTTAAAATTTATCTTAGTGTGCCTGTAGTGAAGTTTCATTAAAGTCTGAACATAATTAGAGTTATAAGAATACTTCACAGTAATCGTTTAGAAACGCTGAAGAAAATTACATCATCTATAATGTCAAACTTAAATTAACCGTTTGGCCGTGGATTTTGATAAACATATATTTTCCTAATCTTAATTAGACCTATTAAATCAGTATGTTATTATTTTAGGATTCCTTCATTACAGCCAGCATTCTTACACTGCATCACTTCTTTTCTCAGATTAGCAGCTAAACTCGCTACTCCAATTGTGCTACAGATCGGAAACTGTTACACATGTTACCCGCCACTACGTTCCTAGTACATACCATAGAATTTGTAGATTTTTGATAGTGATAATATAATAATTCACATATATATATATATATAAAAATTTAATAGCATAACATTACAGAACAAACATTGTAGGCGACTGTATCCACGTCTGTCCGTGTCTTTCCACACAAATGCAAGTGTTTCAAAATAATTACCACGTTTGAAAACAAAAAATTGAACTTAAAAATGTATGAATGATGACTTGTCATTGACTTTGAAAACCTTCACATCTATCTAGAACTGAAGAATCAAAAGTATTGCAAATTGAATGTAAAGTTATCTACGGAAAAAGGACTTGACGTCCAAGAGTTAGATCTGAGGCAACAAAACCACAGGACGCAGTCTTTCTTGACATTATCTTCGCTCATGAATCTAAAACACACATTTTCCCGATTATATGCACCCCTCAGTCTACATGTGGCTAGCACGCACCACTCAAATCGTTTGATGTCTTCGCCTCGAGGAGACTTGCTCTCTGGTCAAATGAGGCCATACCACATGGACTCTCAGGGCCACGTGGGTGACAACAGTCCTTCGTGCGGCGTTTCGACCCAGTTGGCATGACCACGCTGGACTGGAAAAGGGAAAAGCCCATGCAAGCAGACAAGTGAGCATGGAGGCAGAACTGCATGGCCAGTACGCCGTCGCGCAACGATCCGTTCTTTCCAGGGTCTCCATGAACGTCGAGCTCGATACCCAATATTTAAACCTTCGTGCTTCCCACATCTGAGTGCAATATCTGAAACCGAGCATTCCTTGAATCGTCATCAGCTGCACAAGACATTCCGACGTTCAGATTCATTACTCAGTCGAATACAATGGCGAGAGCAGTCATGGCAAGAGTTGGAGTTCCTGCAGTTTACTTCTCCGTCGCGAGGGCAGCACCAGCATTGTGTAACAGGAGTTCAGTGGTACTCATCTGATCTTGGTCTTCCGATATTGCCTATCGTTTCTTGTCTGAACTGAGAAGCTATGGGAGACATGAACTGCTGTTGAGCTGATTATATTCTTCGTTGTTCAAGCTTGGACATGAGCTGCTTACGCTGACTGGTACATGTGCATCTTGCAGATGTTCGCACCTGCTTCCAGGTTCTCAGGACGGGCTCTGAACTCCACCAATTTGAGACAAGCTGTGTCTTCTCGCACTTGGCAGGTAAGGCTGTTCCAGACCTCATCAAGGCTAAGAATAAATACGATTCACCCACACCACTCAGCTTCAAATTGCCTATAGTGTTCGTCACCTGCTTAGTTGTTGGAAGCTAGAGTTTGTAAGTTCTCATCACCCGCACAGATTCCATCATTCTCAGGACTACTGAACTTACTTCAATAATCATGATTTTGACACTTAACGGGTTCCAGCACATTACCATTGACTTTTAGAGGAAGATTGTTTAGCACAATTTTTGTCTGCTGAGGTCGAGCCCTTCCCAGTCAAACTGTACGTGATGTCGTGAACAGAACGTTATATGGAGAACAAACAAATCTGTCGTGATCTCTGTAAGCATGAACTTGTAAGAACTCTTCGGTGAATGTGGTGAATGTGACCGCACAGAGAAGCTAATGTTTGCTTGTGGAATGTATACAGGGGGTTCAGGTCCGAGCCCGAAGCACAGCGCAGGAAGAAAAGGTGGCAGTAGGAGATGATATCATAGACAAGATCAATCACGATCACCGCGAGTTGGAACATTTCTTCCAAAAATATAAGGATTCACACAAACAGGGTGATGATATGGAGGCAAGGAAATGGTTTAACCAGTTCGTGTGGGAAGTCTCTCGTCACGCAGTATGTGAGGAACTTATCTTCTATCCGATGCTAACGAATATGGGAGAAGAGGGGAAGAAAATGGCTGATGAGGCCATTGAGTATCACCACAAGACGAAGGAGATTCTTGCTGACCTCCAGACTACATTGGATATGGACGAATTCGACCGAAAGATGGACAAAATGTGGGCGGACCTGAAGGAACATATGAACACGGAGGAAAGTGAGGATCTGCCGTTCCTCCGAGACAATACCGATGTCTCGAGTCGAGAGAATGCTGGAAAGACTTTCGCTCTGGGTAAAAACCTCGTCCCAACTCATCCCCATCCCGCAGTTCCTGAAAGGCCCGTGGCCTTAGAAGCTGCTGTGGGACTACTTATCACCCCGTTGGACAAACTTCGTGATATCTTCACTCCTTTTCCATCACAAAACAAATCTGTAAACTAAATCCACGTAAGGTCGGTGGAGTCCGGGCTCGTTGAAAATAGTCCATAGCTTCCGTGTACATTCGATCAGTTGAGGTAGGCAATCTATGTCGTGTGCAGCTTATGCTCCGTCCTGTTACTCTAGCTTAGTCTTAGTAGGACTGGAAATGCTCTCACAGTAACGGGGTATAATTACTCCCTAAGTTTGGGTGAGAGAAACCTGTTCTCTAGTACATATGTGTAAGAATAAAGATGAATACTTGGTGGACTCCATGTCCAAAGAAAACTGGAGGGATTGTTCCTCAAGCTCTGTTACAGTTTATTATTGCCCAATTTGTTTATATTAAACCGAAGACTGACGATATCATGCGGGTTCCAACTAATGAACTAAATTGCATGGGAAGGTAGAGAACTAACAAAAAATCAGGAATGTCCTGTCAATGAGGTATCTAATGTCAAAATTCAGATCAAATTTTCATTTAATTAGATGATATGTAAAAGTTTAATTATAATTAAATAGCTTGTAGACTAAATATTTCACACAACTGACTGATCAATTTCAACATTAATTATAACATTGAAAACTCTTTTAACAGATTTGAAAATGTAACTGTGGAAATTACATTTTTTTGATCATATCATAAGCCAAGTGGATAAAATAAACAACTTAGTTTATATGGCAATAAATTAGAACAAGTCCTGTTTTAACTTCAATATTTAGTAAGATGACAAATATATCTGTCCAAACCTGGACATATTTGTCTCTTCAGCAGTTCGAGTGCACACTTAATTTAAACTCAGTTATGAATACGACGGAAAGAAAGGTGCACGGTGGAACGTGTAATTTGATGGACCAGCGTCAAAAGCCACTACGTTTTAGAAAAATTAAGATCTTCGATCAAATATCCCCAAAACCCCTTGAAAATCCTCAAGCAAATGATGTATGACCGTTACCTTTTAGGCAATCACGTGAACTTATTATAAAATACCACCGCAATCCGTATTGCTCAAATGAAGATTACCACACAATGGCTACTTGATGGCTACTTGACTTGATCGCCAAACATTCTAACTTTCTCTTGTCTGTTACCAAAGTGGGTCTTTCGATAGTCTTAGATTCTTATAATTCTGAGGTAACCCAGTGGAAAATTCTCATTGTATACAATTTTCAGGGTGAGAAACGAAATAGCATGATGTAAAGAATCCAATTAGATGTGCCGAAGGAACAAAGCGGGCTTTCCTTTCTTTGGACATCGAATTCCATCCAGCTTAGGGAAGGAATTTTTCCTCGGAGCGAGAGCTGCCAATACAGAATCACATGGTATTGTTGAACTGTGCATTCTTCTGAGATGAAACACTAAAAGAAAGTTTGTGAATGTCCACGCAGCATACTGAAATTCAGCAAATATTTTTGACGGACTATATAGCTATTGTGAACAATTCAAACATATTTACACGCGTAAACTACTAGAGGAATCTGGAGGAATGCTTAGACGCAGAGAGGCAGTACACTATTTACGGACCATTCATGTTTGTTTTCAAGTATGTGAAGTGAATCCGAACATTTGTACCTTCAATAACACCAGGGTTTTCAATATGATGTTTGGTGACAGGTTTCCTTCTTTAAAAAGCACATCAGCTTCCTTCATATTCACATACAAGAAGCCGCTGCAGACGACAGACTCGGTCATCCTGATTTGATAATCTGGCTGCTGAAGTATTCAGATTTTTTTAGCTGAGCTGAGCCTAATTCAATGCTTTAGATACTGATATCACGACTTCATGGACCTCAGCACAAGCAGCCCTTCTCCAGACAATGACATGGATATCAGTTCTTGTAATCCTCGCTTTGCACCTACTGATTCTTCGTATTTTAACTTCAGAAGTAGCCTGAGAAAAACTGTAAGCACTCTTACATCTACGTTGTAGAACTTAAATTTCCATTCCACTAGTTATCGTCAATAACTAGCTGGCTGTGGACGGTAATACAGTGTGCATGATGTCTTGAAGAACCTTGAGACCTTGAGAACAATCACACGAGCACAGAGACTTGTTCGTAAATCGCTACGAGGAATTGTGAAGAGCCTAAATTAAATTAAAAGTAAAAAAGAGGTCATTATAGATTTCCGATAAAACCTGTCGTCCTAGAGCACGAACTACTGCACATTGTGACCTTTCAACAATAAGATTCAAGTGATTTTGCGTTTCATACAGTCACTCATTTTTCTGGAGAGGTTTTTCGAAATATGGAAAAAAAAATCCAGAGCTTACATCATTCATCTACCCGGTAAAAAACCATGCTACTTTTTGAGTCTTCAAAAAGCCTCATGCATGTAACACATCTATATATTGAGATGAAAGGATAAATAAACCCTAGCTATAGCTGATATGCATGCGACTTTCTCATAGTGGTTGCATAACTTATGCCAAGATACATAAAGAATGTGTGAGAAAGTACGATACTGACCAATTGATAGCAACGCTTCATCCTAATTGAGTATGAGTTCCTAGGATCTTAATCATGCTTATCATCAGAAAGCGTATTTGAGCGATGACCATTGAAATGAATCAATTTACCTTGCCATGATAACTGGAAGTGTTGACTTTGCATAAGAAGAGTTCTTTCTTTCCTGTTCTTCAAAAAGACTTCCAGGAGATCTGAGCAGCATCGTTGCTGGCTTGATAAAAATGGTAACATGGACAACACATTGTCTTCCTGCATGTCACTTCACAAAACTTCGTTTCTCTCATGTTCTTCCAAAGAACTTCCAGGAGATCTCAGCAACATCAATTCTGCCTTGATATCAAGTGGCAACATGGGCAACACATTGTCTTCCTGCATGTCAAACAGGAAGTATGCGCTTTGAGCCCACTTGGCCCATATCGACAGCTGGACCAAACTATCACCATAATACAGCATAATGAAGTGCACATCCTACAACGGTCAATGAATCCTTGGGCTTCTACTTCAAGACTTAGATACATATCTACGTACAAATGTACAGACATGGGAAAATAATAATGGGGAAGCTTATCAAAAGCTTTAAACAAACCAACGTAACAGCTGTTCCAAACAAATAGTTTCTGCTAACATTAATTGTAGGAAATTCCTTCTGTATCAGTTACATGTGTTTTCCCGACGTAAGACTCTGGAAGACAAAACTGCTTTAGCATATGCTCTATTTAGGTGAGAGATTCACGCTCGGATCAGAAAGCATTGTCTCCATGCTATTTACGCGTCCTTGCACAATCCGAAGGGTGTCAGATAACGATCCAACACGCTTGCGAATCCCTGACAGCTTGGCTGCATGTTGTGCGCCTAGAGGTAGTGGCGTGTCTTCTAACAGCTTGTCCAACTCTGGAAAAGGGTGGCAAGATTAGATTGTAAAGAGGTGAAAGATGTTTCACAACGATTCTGAACGAGAAGAAATGAAACGATGATACATGATACCGTATGACAGCTATACATTGAACTTGACGAACAAAGCTTGATTTACAAGTTCCTCTGTTCACCTAAATCAAATTATCAGTCTACTCCTGACAATCGCCTCGAGCTGGACACTGCAATTTCAAATGAAAACCAGTTCTTTTGATCTTACTGAGAGAACGATTTCTTTAACAGGAAACAGACCGTAAGTGGAATTTGATTATAAAAAGGATTACATCTATCTAGTCTACCCACAGATAGTCCCCGAGTGAGTATCAAAAAGAAGCTGTAAAAACTGGAAAACTGAGCCGCAACGTCTACTTCACATTCCTCACCAACCAGAGTCCGGCAGAATAGACGAGTATGTTCACTCCCAGGGTTGAATTATAAATGGTGAGGCTAAACCTGAAATCTGAAAGCCTTGCAAAATGCCTGTGAGAAAACACCTGAACTTTCTGGCCGATCGGTCACCAATTAATTGAAAAACTAGAAACAAAACAAAAAATGTATGCAAGTATAAACCGATTTTCGTTAGTCCTGGAAACCGGATGTCTCCGTGGAACAAAACTACTATATCAATCTGGAGCAAAGAACCTACGACGGAGCAGAAGAATTGCAGATGCCCTACTTTGTGAAGTCTACCTCTTGAGCACACCTATAGTCTACAATTGACGCATTGAACAAACCTCTTGTCAGACGATCAATGCTGTTTTCCAGTGTATGTTGACTCTTCACAACTTCCTCTACTCTCGTTTCAAAAGTTTTGATGACAGGACCTAAAACCGATGCAATTCCTCTGGCAATTACTTCCGTCGGGTCTTCCGCGATTGAAGACGATTCTTCACTCTCCTGACCTCCATCAGCTTCCACTCTGCGTTCTTGCTCTCCGTCCAAACTGATGGTCTCCGGAGAATGAGACATTGCGTCCGTGTTCATCGTGGAAGTTGCTAGATCACTTTTGGCGTCTACACGAACGTCTTCAGACGAAGATGCCATGCTCGTATCCAGAATGTCGAACGAAACAATTGGGTTAGGCTAGATCACACAGGGGCTGCTCTACAACCATCAAGAGCTCGTCCCTCTCAGCCAGACAAGGCGATCATCCAGACTCTCGTCCAGGAGCAGAATCTCGCAGTTTCCATCAGAAGAAAATCTGAAATCCATAAACCTGTGCGTGTCTTCCACTCACTCTTGCTCACCCATCGACCCTCCACGCCCCAACCAGACCTCCCGCCATTGTCGAAACGTCCTAAAACGCATGAACGATGCAAAAGTTCGGGAGATCGGCTGAACAAACATCCCAACTCATCGTCAGGGTGCGTTGGCCTGTCGCTTTCAAGTCCACGTCGGTTTCCGACGTGGAACTCAACTTCTATTGTAAGGACAATCTCGGCTCGTTAGAGGAACAGCTGTCTGCTCGAAATTTCGAATGTGCTGACCCCGGGTCAACAGACGAGCGGTAACTTTCATTTGCTCTATCATCTTCAGAGCAGCATTAAAGACGTTCGAGGCGCTTTGTGGCAACTTCTGAAGGCCGCTTTCAGCTTGGGTGACACTTCTTTTGAAGTTCCTCTAATTTGTGAATGATTTATTGTGGTCCGAAGTGTGTACACAGCACATGGTACTTGGAGAGCAAATGCATTAGATTGAGTGATACATGGGATCTGAGAATTAAGTGAGTTTCGTGGATTCCGAAAGCGAGACTCCTTTCTGGAAGACAAAGGTCTTAGTGACCATCTTCAGCACTTGAAGTGTGAGCACTGGTTTAGATCGCGTCTTGGCGCCTGTTTATTCCGTGGACATAAATGGCTTGTCAAATGAACAAAATTTGACAGGAAACTATGGCCGTGAACCGTTTGAGTTTATTTCTATAATTCAATGATAGAATCATGTGACGTTTCTTCTTCCGACTTTGTATACACTCTTCATCTGTTAACGCAATTTTCTCCTCTGAGCACATGAGACCTGCAGAGGACATGGCAGTGGTATTGATTCAAGTACACGACACGAAAGAGCGCGAGCTTAAGTGACCGTTCGTAACACTAAGGAATCCACCACTAAGAATATAACATCCTAACCTGCCCAAATCCGCACTCGGACCTAGATCACATGTGGGAGCCGCCCGTCCTTCTCTCGAAGTCACGTCTTGCGAAATTCAATATCATGCCACGGTTGACTCGACGAGAATATGATAAGCTGAGGCGTAGGGCTACCTTCAATCTTAGATTGTAGCCGATGGTCAGAGGACCCATCCGCGGCAGGAGTTAGCAGATGAACGTGGAAGCTCAATATGCCAGCTTCAAAAGAGGAACCGCTTTCTTCAACCTGTCCAGGTGTATGATCTTCCCTGCTTCTGGTTCGGAAAAGCCTCGACGGGTAGACTTCCAGCAAGAATATGTAGGAAAACAATGGCCTCCTGGTAAACCTCCAAATACTAATATACAACGCTCTGCACCCTCAAGTTGCCGATCCGGGGTTCCAAGGATATGACTTGTCACTCCGGAGAGGTCGAATACGCCAAAATTTAGGACAGTGTCCAACTCTTTACTTTCTCATGCAGGAAGATCAATGCGCACTAAAGACTAGTTAGTGATCATGGGGTGTACATCGAAGTTCCTATCTCTCATAGTGAAGCCAACCCCGAGTCATAACTTTCGGGACCAGTTTCTACTGTACAAGTTGGTCGGATGACCTATAACAACTGGAAAATGTATTACAGCATGCAGGGCACTCCAGACGCCACTACAAACTTGCTGATGAATTAAGCTGAAACTACTGCCCCAGAACTTAAATCAAGTCTGCAACGTTCATAGGCATCTCGTCAATCTGAGTACTGTAGTACTGCTCTATATCACGCAATATTCGAATGTCATCACTCCTGACGAAGTTAATTGCCACACCCTGCATCACAAGCCAACATGTACGAAACGACCTTAACGTTTCTTCAACGTATACAGTAGCCTCCTTAAAGAATTGCAGTTTGCTATGTCTTGAGACAACACATCTTCACCCTACGCAAGCATCAACAAACTTATTTTAAGCAAACAATTCTCCATATGTGACTGTCATAAGATCAAAGGAACACACCTTCCGCCCAAACCGACCGGATCGACCAATTCGATGAATGTAGAGCTCACGGTTATTTGGTAGGTCGTAGTTGATAACAAGTGAAACCTGATTGCAAGAATTCCCTTGACGTTAGTAACACTCAAAGGGCGGCAGACCTGGCTGTTTTCAAGTTCTTTTCAAAGCAATGCCTTTCGACAAAATGTAACAATCAGTTAACACAAGTCTCTCACATGCCTGATTGATAATTCCTTAGTTAGTTTAGACAAGGAAAACTTACTTGTTGAACATCAAGTCCACGGGCCCAAACATCTGTCGTGATGAGGACTCGTGTCGTTCCGGACCTAAATTCAGCCATAATAGCATCTCTCTCCTTTTGGGGCATGTCCCCGTGCATCGATGAAACTGTGAAATTATTGCTTCTCATCTTCTCTGTCAACCAATCCACCTGCAACAATGCATCTCGTTAGAACCTCGAGATAAATACGTACTAGACATGGCGGCATACGCAGCATGCAATTAGATAAATGCCAATGCAAGATATGGCTGGATAAGGGCACAAAGCGAGATAGAGTACCTTCAACTTCTCCTAAATGAAAGACGAATGAAAAGACTGTTTAGTCTAACATCAAGCCCACATATCTCATACTAAGAGAATGAGAATCACAAAAAGACCTATTAACCAGATAAAATTTGCCTGACCTACTCATCACCCATAATACGCTTGAGCACAATAAGCATATGATCACCTTTCTCTTCGTGTTGCAAAAAATAACGGCTTGGGTGATGGTCAATGTGTCGTAAAGATCACAAAGAGTATCAAATTTCCACTCTTCGCGTTCTACAGCTACAAAAAACTGCTTGATACCCTGAAATAAAACGTGGAGAAGTAAGTTTGAGTAAGACCATCTCAATAAAAAGCCCAAAGATATTCCAACTCAGCACGAAGAATAAAACAAAGAAGTTACATCAGGACTCTACTTAGATGCCATAAAACTAGTAGGTCGCAAGTACAGTTTGGCATAAGGAATCGAAGATTCATGCAGAAGGATATACACACCTCCAGCGTCAACTCATCACGCTTAACGAGGATTCTAACGGGGTCTGTCATGAACTTGTTGGTCATCTCCAGAATTTCGTGTGGCAGAGTAGCTGACACCAATACGACCTGTGTTCAAGACGTATAAGATCAACCAATAGGTGTACAAACACGACAAGAAATGTTGGGCCAAGATTCATAATTGGTACGAGAGATTCCTCTCTTCGTTCTATTTGAAAGATCGGACAATTTCAGGAATGCGTATCAACTCGCAGTTGAGCTTTCAATGAACACAACAACCTCGTCAAAATCCGCGGCGTATACCTCACTTAAGCGCGTAACCATAATACAGCATTATCTCACCGGTACTACAATCACAGCCAAATATATGCTCTCACCTGCAATTCTGGAGGTAAATATCTGTAAACGTCGTAGATCTGGTCCTTGAACCCTCTGCTCAGCATCTCGTCGGACTCATCCTGTTCAAGAGTACATTTCAGTCGACGCACTTTCCTTGCAATCCTCGTCCAACATTAAAATTTGAACAGATAACCAGTACAGGTGATAGGATGTTACTTACAAGAATCAACAGCTTGATGGCCCGGGTTCGCAACGTCCGTCTTTTGATCATATCGTAGACCCTCCCTGGAGTACCAGATACAACATGAACGCCATACTCAAGTTTCCTTATGTCTTCACCAATGCTCTTCCCACCAATGCAGGCATGCGCTTGGACGTTCATGTAGTCACCAATGGCAAGAATAACCTTTTCAGTTTGAGCTGCCAGCTCACGAGTAGGTGACAAAATCAATGCTTGAATCCTGCAGCAGAGTAGATATTGACAGAACGTAGTGTAAGCATATTTTGGTTTTGAACATTAAACAACAGACAATAGGAGCATCGCAGGCATCCTGTGAAGAACGACCATATCCTACAAAGCATAAGAGTAAGAAAACTTCACAGAATATGAGAAAATGCAGAGCAAAAACAAGCTATGTTTGCTGTTGGTAGTCGCAAGAAAAACCGTCATATACCCTATTCGGCAAACGCCGCAGGAAGGACTCGCGGCAAAATCAAAATTCTATGGGCAATCCATTCATCACAATACGTTTCATAAAAACAGAGCGAAAACGTGTCATGCTAAAACCCAAAACCCTCCGTCGCGGTCTACCCTAAGACAACCTGAAAGAGAAAACAAATCTTCAGGATACAAATGCTGTCATTGAGTAACGAACAGAGCTAAAGATATCACAACTATGACATTACCCCAATGGCCAGGAGTGTACGGAAGCACACAAGCTAATCCGACAATGCGTCAAACCAAGGATGGGTTTCGAGACTGAAACACAGGCATTTGAGTGATGAAAACCCTAAAATCAAGCATGTAGCTCGAAACTAGTGATAAATGACCTTGTGCGAGATTTCCATCTAAAGCAAAATAATTAGTCCATCGGTTTTGAGGCTTCTTCTCGTGCGTGAGTCGAAGATGCAAGGATAACATCAAGAGAAAGACTGTAAAATTGCGGTTTGGTATTTGGTGCGTGTGCACCAGCCCAACAATTACGCGAGGAGCCGGAAGTGATGGTTAACAAAACACTCGGTGAGAACCGCGAAAGGAGAAATAACAAAAACATAAGTGTAGGTACATACTCGCGCGTGGAAGTGTCTATCATCTGGCAAACAGTGAGCGCAATCATGGACGTCTTTCCAGTACCAGACTGCGCCTGCGCAATGGCATCCCGGCCACTGATTATAGGCATGACAGCTCTCTGCTGGATCGCAGAGGGCTTCTCGAAACCGTACGCATATATGCCTCTCAGGAGCTCCTCTCTAATGCCCATCTGATCAAAACTTGATATCACCTCGACTCCCGCACTCGTCTCAAACACCAAGTTTTCATCGTCATCCGGCGCCTCTCTCGCATTCGCATTCCTGCCCCCGCCTCTCGGATTTGCGTTCGCCATAGCTGCTCCCTCCCTCACTTCCTCTGGTTTCCCTCCCTCCCTCCCTCCCTCCCTCGTTTCTTCCTTCCTTACCACCTACGCCTTCAACGACTTCTCCTTTACACTTTTCTGAACCAAAAATTGGTCAAAGTGGACAAAACACTTGGAGAAAAATCTCAAACCCTGCAAGATAACTTCGATGTCTTCGAAAATGTTCTACTGCTACGGATGAGTGCGTCAGAGGAGGGTTCGAAACGATCGAGAACAGGAGTAGGCGAGGGTTTGCGTGTTCTATGAGGCTGTCAATTCCCGCTCTCTGCTTTCGGGCGTTCTTCCTCTCCTCGGGTCGACGCCCCGCTCCGGACGACTCGCCCTGTTGATGCCGTCGCGCGGAGGAAGTAGGGTCAAGAAGCGAGTTTGTCATGACTGTGATTAGAACTTACCACAGTAACCGGAAAGCGATGCTCTACCCTTTGACTGCACGGATTAGCTTCCACCGACCGTATGGTATTTACCTACACTACTAGCTGACGTTTGATAACATACATCATTCTTGAAGTATGCTCCAGGTTGAATTTATTATTTCACTTATTTTAATACCTCAAGAAATACCGGGTAATGTGGGTAATGTAGAAAGGGATGAATAGAACCCATTCACTGTTTCCTTGGATGAGACGAAAAGAGGTCACTTGGACCCCATGGAACCGCAGTGGTGAGCAAAAAATATGGTTCTTCATACATTTCAACTATGCAGATTAAATGTATTAAAAAAATCTAGTGTGATTACTATCTTATAAATTTCAGCCATTGATGACGTTTCATTAATAGAAACATGTTCCCAATATTTGTTAACATTACGCACTACGAAATCACATACCCAACTCTTTTTTCAGAGGATCTTCAACATCCTCACCAACAATTCATATTCATTGTCAATAGCTCCACATAATCTCAAATTTATGTTTTCAAATATAAAATTTCTAAACCTAGTCATATATTCCATCTTGGTTTTTACTGCTTCATTCTCAGCCCATCCATCATTCACCAAACTCTTCAAAAATGCATCACCACAATGTGAAACGATGAAAATGGTAGTGTCATATCAAATACATGTATGTTTCACACAAATACACGGCATGATATATAATACAATAAATCTACTTTCTTGTGTCACCATTATTCTAGAAGTCATCATTACTAGCAAAATTCAAACCTTCAATGAGGCAATCCATAACCCTATTGTTTTGAGCAACTATGACAAGTAAAATGTAATGGTTGGATAAGTCAAGGCAAAATCTCAGTCTTCTAGGTAAAATATTGTGCAACTTCGAGAATATATTTTCTTTCAATTGATATAAAGAAGCTTAGTGAAATTTTTTTGAATGCAAGGATGTTAAGTATTTTCTTTATTTATGAAATGGTTGGACATTTTAAGAGATTATGCGGATTGCATTAAAACATGATGATTTATCAGGGAAAGTTGTATTCTTCTAGATGAAACTTAAGTAAATGTTGGAATCACAAATGTTATTTTTGGATACAAAAATTATCTTTTACAATAATCAAACGTGTAAAAAATGATCTGGCTACATGATGTATTTTGCATGTATATTGAAAAAGCAATCTAGCAAAAGACATTGAATATATTATATATTATCAATAATAACTCATAGTTTTATACAACATGGTAAATTTTTGCCAGATCTAAAGTGACACATAAATTTTTCACAGAGCTATTGCAAAACTTCGATTAATGTTAATAATTACATCAATGGTTTGCAATTGTGCTGATAATACAAGTGAGAAAAAATTTGTGCAAAAAGTGATGTGGGTTAATTAAGAATAACAAATTCTATGATTGTGAAACTAATATCGCCCATGAAAAATATTTAAATGTCATCTACATACAATACATATATGATAAATAATGCGTAGAGGTATATAAATAAGAAAATTTAACCACATTGAAAGTACTTACATGCATATGCCATTTTTTAATATCATACATACTTGAAGCTAGAGTTAGGAGAATTATGAAAAGAAACTCATTTTTTAAAAGGATTTCTTGAAGGATTTCTTTCTAATTTATTCGCCTTGATTCTCATACATTCAAGATGAAAATTGGTATTCTAATAATCAAAGATTTATCTAAAATGATTGATATGATTTTAAACGTGTCTGTGATCCTCTAAATATGTCTGTAGGTATTTATACATAAACATGTAACCTTAGACAGTCAAAGTCAATTACAAAAGAGCTCTACAATCAATCATGGCGATTAAAGATCAATTTTAAGGAACAATTTTTTGATAATTGTCGGAAAGTTTGGAAACATGTAATCTATATTGGGAAAATACATATTGGTATAAAAAAATCAAAGAGATGGCAGATAAGATGTGAATAAAAATTACGAGTGAAAGACACTCAACACAGATTTGAACTTTCATCTAAACCGCAAAGTTAATAAGTGTAATAACCCACTAAAGGCTAAAACTGCAGTATAGTGGTAGAAAGGTCGAACCCACAGGGACAGAGGAACACACAGGGTACAAAGTGTCACATTTAACAGACTATTGAGGAGTTTGAATTCTCAGGCGACTATCACTCCCAGAAATACTGCAAGTGTCCACTCGGAACGCACTCGGAGGTCGCACAGTGCAGCGTAACACACACACACACACACACACACCTGAAACTACAGAAACACAACCCAGAGATCCGTTAGGACCTCTACTCAAGATTTCAGGGGGAAGGTATCTCAAGAGTACACTCAGCGAAGCTGTGGGTAGTGACTCCCAACTCCGGCTTTTACAACCCTTCCACTAGCTGTCTGCTAGCGTAGGGAACCCGGTTTGGACTTCCTACTTTGGATCGAAGTCACTCATACGCGGTGAACAACACTCTCAACTCACTAAACGCGCAGAGAACACAGGTCCGCACAGAAGGACTCACTGAGAAACATTCCAGTAACACACCACAACAGTCTATTGAAGAGTTTGAATTCTTAGGCACTTGTCATTCCCATAAATACTACAGGGGTTACCCCAAAGGCACCTGCTGCAGCGTAACCTGAATTTACAACCAAGACTTACACGAAGTAGCAAAACTTCACTTTGGCATTCAGGGGAAAAATCCCGAAGGAGTACAATCAAGAACAAACACTCGAAGGTGTAGGGGCGAAACTATTCAAGTAGCTAACTCGTCACTGGCTCTAAGTATCGGACATCACCCGCGGGTGTAGATTCGAACTACTCAAGTCTCTAACCAATGTACCAGCTCTGAACATTCGGCCAAAGGCCTTCAGCTACACAATGCGGACCGCTAAGGTGTAGCTCCTCGTGCGTGGTGACAGAACTAAGGACACAAACACGTAGAGGAAATGAGTTCCTGATCTGCACTTCTGATGTTGGGAAAGATCCCAAGGCAAGACGCCTTGAACTACTTTATACCTTCTAAGTCCTAACTAACACTACACTGCACTACGCTACACTACACTCCGCGGAACCTGTGCTTCGCCTCCTGCACTACGGACTGCCGCGCACCAACTCCCTACCCTACCAGTCTTCCGCTCGACTGCGTAGTCCCAATCGCCGCAACGCCGCGGACACCTCCGTCTCAAGGGTGGACATGGTATCCCGCGCCTTCGACAGAAAAGAATCTAGCTTCTTCGCTACCCGCCGCCGACTCCAACTGTCACCCGCCAACAACCCAGCAGCACGAAGCTCTAACTCACGCAGTGTGAGTTTCTCCTGCGCCGCCACCTCCCAGTGGGCAGAGCCCTTGAGACAGTGGGCGACTCGCCTTGCCATCTCTTCCTTCGTGCGATCTGCCTCTCGCCTGCGATCGTCTTCAATTACTACCAGCTGCGATTCGGCCTCCGCACGCTGAGCTCTCAATTCTCCGCACTCCGACTGCAGCCTGCGGATTAAATCCTCATCCGCCTGTCGTGCGAGCTGACACTCCGCCAACAACGGCGTCTATCGCACGAGCTCCTCTGACAGAACCTGATTCTGAGTCTTCTCAGAAATCAGTTCTTCTGTGGTCCTCACCACATCCCTGGTGAGCTCTTCCAGTCTCTCCTTCTTCAACTTGTCGCAGTGGGTGTGCGACTTCCGCACGAGATTGTACTGTCCCCACAAGCAGTCATACTGCTCCCGCAACTCCTTAAGTTCCCGGTCCACCCGAGCTAGCAGCTTGCTGGTGTGGACTTTAGTGCGAGTTCGCCTGCGCACTAACTCGACGTAGGACCCAGGCTGGCGAGGATCTGCGTATTTATCAATTTTGCGATCTAAGTATCTCAGCAGAGGTACTACCTGTTCACAGAGCGCCGCCGCCGGCGCACCCACGATTTCTTCCTCCTCCTCCTCGGTGTCTCCCGATCCCGACACTGCTTCCGTGGATCCTCCTTCGTCATCATCCGAAGGAAGGATTTTGGTCGCCATTGATTGCGTTGGCGACTGGCCTGAGTGGGGCTGCGAGTGGTCTGCGGGTTCTGCCGCCGATGGCACTCCTGCAGCTTCGCTGCTCCCTGCTAAAATGTCCAAGGCGGTGGGTGAATGTGGCCGTGCCACATCCCCATCATCCGCCTGTCGTGCGTCGATCGTCGCTCCTTCGCCGCCGGCGTCCGCCGCCGAAGGTGATCGAGCGGAATGTATCTGCGCGGGGTGCAATTGTGCATAGAGCACTCGAATTTCGTCCCGCGGACAGACAATCCGCTCCTCCGTTAGGTCCTGCTCCCTCGATCGGACCTGCGCGAGGGATGCGTCTGGCCTACGCGTAGGCGCAATTCCCGGCGCCTTATCCGCCGTAGGCGCAGCGCCGAAGGCGTCTATCGCCGAAGGCCGCCCGCCCGATGTACCTTGGCCCGAAAGCCCTTCCGTCGAAGGCGCATCTTCCGACGGATTCCCCGCCGAAGGTGCGGCCTCCGCACGCTGACTGCTCGTAACTCGTTGACCCGAAGGCCCTGGCGCTAAAGGCGCAAATCGCGGCGCGTTGTACGCCGGAGGGCCTTGCCCCAAAGGCCCTTCACCCGAAGGCGGATCTTCCGCCGGCTCCTTCCCCTTCCTACGTTGTACCGGGGGTGAATCCTGCCTACTCGTAGGCGGCCGCCTGTGCGTAGGCGAACTTTCCCTGCCTACGCGTAGGCAGAGGTCCACGTCCGCAGGAGGTCGCCTGTGCGTAGGCGGCACACTCGTCCGCACCGCACGTAGTAACTCCTGACCCGAAGGCTGTCTCTTGTTTGCCGGAGGCGTAGCGTGGTCCACCGCTCCTGCGGACGTCCGCGCACTCCCGTCCTTCTCCGGGGACGCACTTCCCTTCTCCGTGGCGATCGTCGCCGTGTCCGCGCTGCTGGCTGGTAACACAAGCCTGCGCACCTTCTGCTTTGGCCGGCTGCACACTTCGTGCAGTGGCCGCTGCCGTATGGGAGCAGTGGGTTCTCGCTGTTGCTCCTCCTCTGGTTCCTCTCTCCATCTTCGTTTCCGCTGCACTCTTGCTGCGGGCGTGTTTCTTCCCTCGTCCCGCTGAGTCGGTGGAGTAGAAGTTGGTGAATCCTCTGCGTCGGTGTCGACTTCGTTATCCCGCACATACTTCCCGGGATGGTCGACGGACAATGGCGGAAAGCGAGCAAGCTCCGCCGTGGTCAAACAGGTCCTCTGTCGATAAAAGTTTATCAGGAAAGGGGAGAGGTGATTGAGAGTTCCCCCTTCTCTTCATATGCGTGCTGTCGCATCACCCTATGTAGGATGCGCGCCCAGTGAACTGGAGCTCCGGCTAAGGTGAGCTCCACAAAAGACACTTGCCACAAAGTGATGTACGAGGTGCGGTGCGGCTGCAGCAATTGCAGCAGCGCCGCCGCTACAGTCCGGCGGAAACGATCTTTGTAATCGCGGGTCTTGTACCCGTTCTTGGAGGACCTTCTTCGCTTGAACAATTCCACGAATTGCGCTTCGTCCTGCTTCGACACCTTGACGCTCTCACTATCAAATAGGAGGTACCCTTCGTTGCCGGCACACCTCCCCAATGCCTGCGCCCAATCGTGGACGGTCCACCTATCTACGTGCGGACGCAATCCGCGCGTAGGTTGTCGCTTTGCGTCCAGCCATTCGCGCACCATGTCTACACATATGTAATTCCACCCCCACAGCAAGAAATCCAGTTTTCTTGCAACCAGCCGCTCCTCGGAAGCACGCAACCCGTTCTGTGGAAGCCGGAGCAGCATCATCCGCAGCCTGTTCAGCCTCGACATTGCGTTCTTGAAGTTTGCTTGCGCAACAACTCTCTCTCAGCTCTGATCGAGCTTCTTGCTTCCTCTGCAAACTCTAATTCCTCTCAATTTCAACTCGCGCGCACTCAATTCTCGCTCAGCCACCAAGCAATTCTCCGCGCGGCGATGTCTAGAGTGTCTAACAGCTAGCAGGTGGACGCGCGCAGCTCGCACTAGAAAGTGAAATCGCGAATTCAAGAATGGGGCGTCCTCCGTTTCCTTGTCGAAGGTCATGGTCGCCTCTCGGTCGTGAAGGTCGAATCACTTGATGGCCGCGCCGGCTCCGCGCTATAACGGCCTCCTCTCTCACGCGCGGCTTCACGCTCCGCCGACGCCGACTTAACTCACACGCTCGAATTGGCAATTTGAACTCCGCTAGCGTACTACGCCGCGGACATGGGTGCGCAGCGCCGAAGGCGGATTTCTCGCCTTGCGCGCTACACTCGTTCGTACTTATCTTTGGCCAATCCCGCTCCGCCGAAGGCGATCGTCCGCGCATCGGACAAAAATCGAACTCCCTTCTGCATAGGCGGAATCCCCGGCAGAATCTCCGCTGGCGCGGAACTTCATCTGCCTGTGCGTAGGCGCTCGCCTACGCGTAGCCGACGTTCGTCCGCGCAGGTCCCTCGCCGTAAGCGCAGCGCCGAAGGCGGCTGTGCTGAAGGCGTTGACCGCGGTCAACGCCGTTGACCGCGGTCAACGCGTTTGACCGCGTTTGACCGCGTTTGACCGCGGTCGAAATGGACAGACTGGACTCCGTCCAGTCTGTCCATTTCTCTCGCCTCTCCGTCGGCGCTCTTGTCTCCGTAACCCCGACCGGCCGAAGGCGCACTCGTCCGTTCCGTCCGTACAATCCGTACGGTCCGTACGGATTTTGCTACTCCGTTGGGTCCTCGCCCGTCCGCGCTGTTGCGCTGGCGCCGAAGGCGCCGTACAATTTCCAACCCCGAAGGCGCATTTCTAGGGCCGAAGGCGGATTTCCTGCCGACGCCGAAGCGCCTGTGCGTAGGCGGACTTCGCTTGTCCGCCTGTGCATAGGTGTTAGTCCTCACCGCCTACGAGTAGGCGACATTTGCGGCGGACATCCCGCCGACGTTAAACCCCATTTCGCCTACGCGTAGGCGGACTTTCCCCATCCGCGCATAGGACAAACTTTCCTTGCCTACTCGTAGGCGAGAAGCTGAGTGTCTTGCGACCTTCATAACTCCCGGAGTCCTCATCTGTCCGTGGCGTTCTTGGGCTCGTTAGAATCAGCGCGTCGAGCTCTTTCCAACGAGATCCTAACAAAGTCGAGGCGTTTGGGAATCGATCAGGTTCTGAAGGATTCCTCTAGCGCCAAAGGCGCAGCGCCGAAGGCGGATTTCGCGCCTTGCGCCGGAAGGGTTACTCCTTCAGAGCCCGTTTCTAGGGCGGTGCCTGTCCCAGACGTTGCGCCCAACTCCTGGATTCTACGAGATCTTTCGAGATTCTCCGAGATCCTACAGTTTCACTCTATTTTGATGCACCGATGGCTATTTACACTGCTGCCGCGGTACAGTTTTCCAAAAATGTTTTAAATTCCTCCAAAATACCAAAAGTGGGGTACCACAATAAGCTTACTTCCATACCTTTATTTTGAAGTTTTTCATAAAAAATGTAACAACTAAACTACAATTACAAATTTAAAGAGAAAATCTATTTATATTTACTCTATTCGTTTGACAAATATAGCTCAACTATGTTTGGATAAGTATTCTCACCTTTTACTCCTGCACTCTTAATCACTATCCTGCGTTGCATTATGAGAAATTTTTTTCTGATGGAAAATTGAAAATAACATGTACTCAGAAAATTCAGAGAGAAAGAATTTTATCATCACTTTTAGCTTGAGGTGATAATATTTACATCTGAATATCAAACAATTTCATTCTAATCTTTAAAAAAAATGTTACTCATGCTTTAGGAAAAACATTAAAACTCTGTGATCTAAAAGACAGGAATCAAGAAAAAACATTAAACGAATATATTCATACATATTATGATTGTACTCGAAATCCTGATTCAAAAAATTAACTCAATATATTTTCTTTATCTATGCAGGTCTAGAATGTAAAAGCCAATTCTATTGAGATCGTTTGCCGACTTAAACGTCATTTGATATACCGAATTGAAAGAGATATACAATGTTTGTATCCATGTGTGTTGCTGTAAAAGAAATAAATAAATCACTAGATATCAGTTACAAATACATATGCTTCAGTAGTTTAAAAATGTAAAAAATTATATGAGATTTCTCGAATTTTACATATGTAAAATTTCAAAGCTAGAGGAAAAGTAGGGAGTACTATAAAATCGTTCATTCAAAACATTAAACTCATTATAAAATTCAAATCGTTGCCATTGCAACAGTGTAAAATTTATCTCAAAGCCTGGTTCAGTCTTCATAACTCGTGATTTCAGTTTGGAAGCTTACCTACAAAAATAAATATATATCTATTTTCGGGTGCTTTTTATATTAACTAAGAAAATAATCATTTTTTTGCCCCATAGAATTTGCCCGTCTCAGTTATGAGTATTACATTTGGATGTGAAACTCAAAAACAAACCTTCAAATATTGGTAAACCCAGACTAAGTCCAAAAGAGGAAAGTGTAGCTTGGGCAAACGTTGCTGAAAAGGTTTCAACTGAAAGAGGTCTTCCTTAAGTCTCCAAGTGACACTAACAGGAAAATTGTTGACTTGAATTCCAGTCATAAATAGCATCCAGTGGCTAATTGAATCTTAACAATTCTATGTAAAATAATTTTTGGATTTGCTCAAAAAAAAAAACCTCAAATAGACAGAAAATTTTCAGATTGTAGATTCGCAGTTGCAAGAATGAAATTTTATTTGAATGAGTATTGAGATAAATAGATGTGCATAACGTTTAAAATGCGAGCCTGAAGTTCTCATGCAAAGTAGTTGATTGCAAACTTGTCATGTGCTCATTGATGTCTCTGTGCGCTCTTGCAGGAAGAGAGGAATAAAATTCAAAAAAGGTGCTTATCCTTAAACATGTATGAAACCTGGGGTCGATAGGTGATGACCGGAACTCATATGAGCCAGGCCACACAATCATGTTTCGAAAAATAGACCACTCTTCTTCAGCCAAATCATTACTTCAGAGCAGAAGATTAAGACGCTTAACTGCTTGACACAGGCGTAGTTTATGGGCATGTTAAGCTCGGCGATAAACGAGTTCCTGTCTAAAAGCTCCTATTACTTTAAACTGGTAAGCTTCCTAATTTCTTACGACTCCGGGCGAATGCACGGCTTCCAGTTCACAAGACATGATGATGTATGAAGATGCAGAACAACGTCATCCTACTTCGCTACTCTTACTCTTAGTCTGCAACTTAGTCCTCGAAATTTTTTTCCCGATTGCCGATTGAGGACACTCATTGTATGAAAGCAAAGTCGTACATCATAAATCACATATACGGAGCAATTAGAGCTAACGAAGAACCCTTGAGATCAGATACTTGCACACCTCATGAATCTACTGTCATACCTTCGTGGATCAGTAGAACCTTTCGACATGTTCCCAGTGGAAAAAGGCACATTGAAAACCTGGTTATCCAGTAACCAGTGCACAATACATCAGAGAGGAAAGCTGAGCTTCAATTTTGCTTCACCCAATGGAGGATACAACGAACTGTACATAGAGAGCTCGAAAATTACCAGATGTGAAACCTGTGTGAATTCTACAAGCAAGTTCAATCTGAAGTTGCTTTGATTGGTATATCAAACTATTTTCTCTGATCCTTTTATGTCCAATTTTGAATACGTTTTTCTATCATATACATATCCTCTAGAAATATGCAACAATAGTGCTCAATTCCATGCAGCAATATATGCTGTTAGGCACGATCTCGGAAATCGCTCCTTTGCGGAAGTATAGAGAACTATCCTTCCCAGCCACTGATGTGGTGGACTTGTGGCCAGCGCATCCAAATGTGCAGTGCCAGTTCTTACGAGGTTGGACCTCCGTACGAATTCGATCGATATTCATGCTTTTCGTGAGAGTGTGATAGTTTCGTAAAAGTGCAGGCCGTCAAACTGTGGAGCGATTGCTGGACATGAGTTCTCTCCTGATTTCAAAACCTGTTCCTTCGAAGATATCTGCAAGTTGAAATAGAGATGGAACACGGTACAAACACCTCGGCAATGACCTCACCAACTTCATACAACTTGTTCTTCAGCTAAAGATAAAGGGCTCGAGGAGTACCTTGACATTCGGATGGCCGCCGAAGAAGCTGACAGAAGCTCCTATCAAGGCTGCGAAGGCTATGATATTGTCTACTCCAGAAGCCATACTTTCGTCGTGGCAACTCCTCAGCCAGCGCTGCGCCCGAACGAATCCAAATCCATGAGAGACTTGTAAACACTAGATTTGAGCCCCGAGATTGTGGATATAAGAAGATCCAGGCACGGCTCTCGCAGCAGTAGCCTTGGACTCCCGATCCATCCGACTGCAGGACACACCTATTTCGAGGTGACACGGCGAGAAATCGGTGACCGGCAGGCAGTACGTCAGCATTCTAGAAGCTGAAGAGAGGGATTCCATCTCGGATTTGTCGAGGCACGAACCATCCGCCTTGTCCTCAGCTCGTCAACGAATTCCCACTTCTCGTTTTGCTCGTACGCAGCTTCGAGCGCCTGGTGCTTCGACCGGCAACGGTTGCGTTGTGAGGAATCCCTTGGCCACGATGCCGAGAGCTGAAATTGAAATTTCAGGACAGATTCCGTTAGCCAAGGAGTGTGAATCCAGCCTTCATTAGGCTGACCAATCTGTCGAAGAATTCCGCGGTTCCAGGAGCTAGAAATGTTCGAAATCAAACTCATGACTAAACTACTCTAATTGCAGGTTCAGCGATGATGGACGCCAGACATTACTAACCCTCATACGTGAAGCACTTCTCTCCATGACTCCTCAGCCAGGGCAATTTTGTGCTCGTGTATCAAAGTTGAGTCTTGAATAAGGTTTTGATGACTATCAAGCCAGGGAAGGCCGTCACCATTTTTTGTAAGACTAAATTAATCTTAAAATGCGAGAGGTAGCAAGCAGGTCTTCAGTTATTGATTGTGCAGCCAGGGCAAATTTGTGCTCGTGTATCAAAGTTGAGTCTTGAATAAGGTTTTGATGACTATCAAGCCAGGGAAGGCCGTCACCATTTTTTGTAAGACTAAATTAATCTTAAAATGCGAGAGGTAGCAAGCAGGTCTTCAGTTATTGATTGTGCTCCGGGTAGAAAAATCCTTCTGGATCGTAGATCGGTTAGTGCCGTTAGTTATTGATGTTCTGCGCGTCTCATATCTAAGTTCTCTTTCTACCTTCACCAATACTATACTAGAAAGTATTGGTGAAGTTGGTTACTACATGAATGTTGAACGTGCCATGTACGACGACTGTCACTTCGATTTCAGCTGCGTTCTTAACTCTCTCTTTCGAAACAATGTGCTGTAGATGGCAAATCTATATTTCGCGACGCCTGTATTGGCACTTAGACGCAATAATCAACCTGCTTTTTTGCATCTTTCGTTATTGTTAAGCAGCATTCTTCACACCATCATGATCCGATTCTGACATATGAACTCAATGGAGCAATAGTGGAATTGTATGTTAGACTGGTCCTTTGAAAGACAGATCTAGGCTGGGGCCTCTAGCTTCTGGAATCTATTGTGCTTAAGCAGAGAGGAGTAAGGTCTAAAACTATTATTTACAGCTTAAGAGAAAGTTTTATCTAAATCACATAGTGTTAAAATCTCTTCACATTCCTCGTAACACAAGATGCGAAATAGTAACGATTTTAAAGCATGGATAATTCTGTAATTTCGAATTATGCATGCAACGGATGATTCATGATTCATGTGGGCTTTCATGATTCATGTGTAAATATTCACCAACTTACTACCATACAGATGGTGCAATCATCTTGATCCCCAGATCAAAAAGGAGCCGTGGAATGAAGCCGAGGACAAGATTTTGTTTTTGGGTCACAGGAGGTTTGGCAACAGATGGACAGACATTGCGAAGCTTATTCCTGGCAGGTAATGTATTTATATCTGGAAGATTTAATTTTTCTAACACTTGAAACAAAAATTTTTCTAACAATTTTCTCATTTTTCTTTATGCTTGTATGACATGTACAAAATGATCAGGCCTGAAAATAGTATCAAGAATAGGTGGAACACGGCAAAAAAAAACGGATGGATGCAATCCAACGATACAATGATACCTGTATCAATAGGAACACATTCGGAGATCTCTTATCCCTTACAGAAGATGTGGATCCAACAGAACTCCGACGGTTCTCACGATGTCCAGGCTAATATTGAAGTTCAGGACTCGAATGCTGCGGAAGAACTTCTGGCATTGAATGGCCAGGCGAATATCAACCTTCATGACTCGAATGCTGTGGAAGAATTTCTTGCGTTCAACAGCTAGCTCGAGTTTGACATGGGTGTTGATGAAAGTGAAATCCTAGACTTTCACTTCTCCCTTTGATGGCAAGTTATTTACATGTCATCTTCAAAGTGCTATGTAAATGTCATAGGCGCTCGTGGGTTCTGCCCTGTGAGTGTGTGGGTTTGAAGAGGCTCGGTTAGAGAAGCAGTGATTATGACTCTTAGGATTTTTTGTGACTTGCTTTTCATCGAGATTTTATAATGGTGCAAGACTGTCGCAAGTATTGTAATTTGTTTACTAAAAGTTTACTCAAATATTTTCTCCTGTTAGTTGTATATTTTAGTCACTAAAATGTATGTAATGTTCAAATACTGTACACTGTCATGACAGTTTATGTTTTTTTCAAGAAGAACGATTCTGACTTCTCCTATACTTGGATGCGAAAATGAACTTATATTTTTGTGATTTCAGTAGATTGCTTCGACCGTTACTATTCTGCTCAAAACTCGCGAGCTTTTGATTTTTCATAATGTCTGAGACTTTGACTCCTTCACTGTTTTTCTGATTCACATCCAACGCTAGTTCTCAAGTTTGTGTTGCTATTGTCATGAAATGTAACATTATTTGTCAGCTCACAGCTTACTTCCCTTGTGAAGGTCCCGATCTGATGTAAGAATGCAACCACTGTAGTTGTAGTTGGACTCCTTTAATCCTAGTGTATAATAATGACTTACGGGGAAAACAATTGTCAATACTTCAATTTCCCAATGATGTCAGGAAACTTTGCAATTGCCAGTCTCAACAGAACCTAGTCTTAACAAACAGTTTTTTCACCTTTTTGTATAAAAGTTGCGGTACGGTAGTGACAGTTGACAAGGTGGAGTTATTTAATGAAGGTGTGTCAATTTGTGCCAGTACTCATTATATTATATCTGTGTATATAATTACAATATATCCTATTGCATTTACTAAAGTTTATCATAGGTGAGATGAATCGATCGCTAAAAATGAGTGTTGCATGAAAACGAAATCAAATCAAATTCTATCGTCTTTAAAATTTATTTAGATTCTCCTAGCTCTGTTAGAAATTCGGCTACTACCAAGGAAAAACGAATGTCCCATGATTCACGTTTAGTCTAAATACAAAGACACATTAATTTTGTTTGAATCTACGTTTAGTTAGACAACGAAACTACAAATCATGAACACTTGAAATTTCCATATCCAGCATCTCAAAGTTTTAGTCAATTATAAGAAAATAAATGTTTGTATATACTTGGCTATGAAATCTTTCATTCGTTTAGACATGTACAAGTAGCTTGTGAGAGATTGTCAAATCCGTGTTTCATTTTTCTGTTGAAATGAAAATTTTCAATAGAAGTTTTATAAAATGAAATGGGCAATTTCGTATATTTTTTTTGAAGAAATATTTTACATACTATTGAATATAAAATCAGATGTATTTTCTTTCAAGATTTTAAACTATCACTAGACTATATAAACTGCAAGCATGAATGATCTAAATTTTGTTAAAAATTGAAGGAGATAAGAAGATGATAAGACTGCCCAGAATTTTCTCATGGAAGTAGATCAGCATCCTGTGCCATGGGAGAAAGGTCCAGCTGTCGTGCACTTGGAGGTGATAACCTCTGCTCGATAGATTCAGCCTTCTCTGAAGGTAAGCCTCTTTGCAGAAGGAGCAGTGAGTGTTTTAAAGCTCCTGGGAACGTCAGCGGGCCCCGCGTTTATTTTCTCGTAAACCAGGTTATACGTGTTCACTTACTCCACATCGTTTGCCAGCTCATGAGCAGGCCTACAGGCCTCGAGGCAATTTGAACCTTTCGGTAGCTCTCAAGGGAGCCGGAGGACAGGAATGCTCAGCTCTGATTTTCTTCTCTTCTGTATCCTATACCCGGACGGGATTGCAGAAGCTTGAGGCTAGGAACGTATCCGTAACGTATTGTGCTCAATCGTCCTAGTCCGACGATTGAGCACAGGTAGGAAGCCGAGAGGAGCTGTGGACCCGTGGCCGTGACGCCCAAGCTTGCCCTGCTTCGCCCCCAGCTTTCATTGTGCTCAATCGTCCTAGTCCGACGATTGAGCACAGGTAGGAAGCCGAGAGGAGCTGTGGACCCGTGGCCGTGACGCCCAAGCTTGCCCTGCTTCGCCCCCAGCTTTCGTTCTTCATCGCACGCTCCTCCGTAGAGAAACTTCGACTACTTAGATTTACAATCTTAATAAGCTGCAAACCTCGTTACGAGGTTTGCAGCTAATTCTGAGTTCTTCTTATATAGTGCGGATATAGTGCGGATTTGGGAGGTGTATGTGCTTGAATCGTATTCCCTGATGAAGATGTTCTCACCGATAAAACCACGGTCACATTTTATATTGCCTCTTATTATTGTTAACAAAATAGAAATTCGAGAAGTTGGAAAGTATTGCCTCTTTCTAGCTCCTGATATTGAAAGCATAGAGATCTGTGTCACTTGCAAAAAAATACTTTAAAACGACATATTGTAGCAACGCTTTCCTCTTGTTTTAAAATTGGATACACGTAGTTTTCAAAATGTAGCAGATATGGTTTGACGGTATACGCGCTTTGTCTTTACTTGTTCCACGGCCCTTCATAAACCGCTGCTGATTTAAATTGTGCGGAAATTACACCCCATGACGCCTGCGTGACTGTCATGGAGTATATGATATACTTCATGACATGTGATTAAAACACATGTTGATTTATTCTATGACACAGCAACTGATCACCGCTCATTTGCCGTTCATCACTTGCGAGAACCTGCCGATGTTTGGAGGCACAACAAAACAGCATCTGGCACACTCGTCCAAATGCAAGGAATAGGCTGAGCGCTTCTTCCCATCAGGCTTCAAAAGTGAGAGTAGCGGTTTCTCATACAGCCTCAACCGTTTCTAGAAAATCGATCTGTTTATTATTATAATCACATTGTTTTGAAAACTTAATTTGATTAATAAGAAGAATGCAATTTCATGATCATAAAATTTCAAGGTAAAATATTTTACATCTAACAAGTTTGATACTCACAAAAACAATGGAAGTATTCAAACTTGTACATATGTATATACATTAAAAGTGGAGATTTTAAAATCAAATATTTGAACTCAGTTTGGATATTGTAATATTATAGAAAATTCTAGTTTTGTATAACACAACTTCTTTTGAATAAAAAATCGTTACTAAATGTGTAGGGTATAAAAATAATTTTTTACAGTCAACTTATATAATTAAAATAATATAAGTAGTAGAAGAGTAGTTCATCGGAGTACAAAAATAATAAGAGGGATTAGTTTCTCAACAATGAATTGTGAGAAAACTTCTGGCCACAAACCTATCATCAAAACTGTTACTCACTATATGAACCACTTCTCCCGTGACAGTAGAGGTGGCATTAACTCCTAAGTAACGATTTCAAACGATCACTCTTGTCACATCAAAATTATTACATTAGATTTCCCTAATATAATGCTAGTATGAAAACCAGTACTCTATTTAAATCTAAGACTAGGGTTTGGAACTTTGTTTTAAAGTACATAAACGACAAATTGCTACTTCAAAATAACAATCTCCCATCCGTTTCTTCGTTTCCATTCTTCAATGGTCGATTATTCACTTCACTAGTGTATAACGTTCACTGTTATGAACAAAAGAGCATGTGGATAATGAGGTCAGCATAAGGAAACTCATTGGCAATATATATATATATATATATATATATATTGAAACTAAACATTTTCGGGTATCACATCTAGAATTGAGTTTGAGTCTATAACGTACAATTTTGTTAGAAATTTAACTTCAGCGTCTTCCTCTTGCTCAAGGATCAATTACTGTGCTTCAATGGTCGATTATTCACCTCAGAGATTGAAACTCACAGCAAATTTTCGTTTGGTTCCATATAGTGGAACAAGAAAAAAGGAATCAAATACCACACTTCTATCACAATGAAGGAGCGAGGCTGTTGTCGAGTGCAACAAAACTAGTATACAATTTCTAGTCTATCGAGTAATGTGATACATGTCGGCAGGTACGAACTTAATCACTGCGACATTTGGTATCAACACATTCTGAGATGAACATGATATATAAATAAAATCTTTGTGCTTTTGCCATTTAAGCATTACAGAATTATTGTACTGGATCCACTGCATAACTTGAGTTAATGAGAATGCTCCAACTGCTACTCGAAGTATACTAAATTTTTCCAATTCTTCTTCTAATGAAAGAGATCTACGGCAGTAGGTTTTGTAGGCGTGATTCAGTATGCGATCTTGCCCTGTGGATCAAGTTTCCCTTCTGAGTGTCAAGGGTTTGGAGTTCCAATGGAATAATCCAAATGAAAACTAAGTAGCTTCTCTGAAGGCCAATCCAACTCGTTATCGAGGTGTAAAAAGAAATTGCACATGGAATAACAAATTTGTAACCTACTCTGTAACTTCCCCAACGAAGTTAAATGAAGGGTTAAAACCCATGCAGTTCAGTTCCAAAGAAATTTTCGACATATAAAATTTGGATTTCGCAAATTTGCAAGGAAGGTGTTAATACTCTAACCTCGAACGTATGCATGAGACTGGATAAAGTTCGGAAGCTAATTTTGAAGTACGAAGTGAGCGTCTATCAGACCCCACCCCTTATTGTTTGATTTGAGAGGAAACCCGACAGTACGGGATTTAATTACAAACTAGATGAATCTCAGATGAGGATTCATCATGCTCCCACCCGACATCTGATCTAAAATAACAGGCTCCAAACTATCCTAACAAATCAAGGTTTGGAACAATGATCTCATACATTAGAATTCTTATAGTTGGATCAATGTCCCCAACTAGATCACTTATTCTATTATAAATTCTTTATAACCCTAAACCCTATTCTCACAGAAACATTTATGAAAAAATAAATCCAATGACGTAACCCCATGACTTGCCAGCCAAATTGACAGGACGTCATCCTATGAATTCGTGTACGAAAAATCTGTCATCATGCCATAAGTAGATCTAAGAAGGTCGCCGAAGTAGACCGTAGTCAAACTGAGCATGCTTCATTGTCCGATGTTCTGGAAATAAAATCTTGTTTCTCAAGGTTGGGATGAGAGTGACCAGACCAATAACAGTCGCGAACCAATTAAAGCTACTACTGAGAAGGCCGTCACAAATTCACCATGAAAATACAAACTCCACTACTCTTCGGGTTGAGTGACGGATCCAGGATCAAATTCACCTCCGCACCTAAATCCAGAAGAGTCGCAGGGCTTGTTTATGGAATCTCCACACAATTTGGGATTCCCAGGCAAAAAAGATTCAGGCAAGCGGGTGTCGAATGAATCTTCAACAGGAATAGAATCGCATAGTTGAGATTAGCGACAAATTGAGGTAACCCAAGCGCAATCTGCTCAGTGACACTGGGATTGGACCCGATTAGAGAAGAAGGTCGCATTTCAGAACAGCGAAAGGCTTGGAAGATGGCAGTCCTCTTTCGTTGCCTTTGAACTTCCCGACTCTCTACCAGATTCGGGAACTTCATTCTCGGAGCTTTTCGATCCGAGGTATCGTCGCTTGTAAGTTTTGGAAAATTGTGCCGAGAAAAGCGTCGTGAATCTGGAATCATTATTGAAACAGTGTTGGAACGTTTACTCTTTCGCAACACGCACAGTGTCCGAAGGATCACATATGAAGAGCAGCGGCTAGGCTGGAGAATTGTATTGCATTCACAGACACTCCAGCGATCGCCGGGCTCCGGGGACCGGCCGGGCTCGTAGCTCCCCATGGTTCTGGTCTGGCTCTCGATTCAAAGAGCAGGGCCTGGTTCTAGCGACGCAGATGTGATACGTCTATTAACAGTGCTGCAGCAGTATAGCACATGCATATACAGCATGTTGATCTCACGTCACGTCTGAGGACTGATACCATCATCCGAGAGACTAAGACGTTCCGAGAGACTATTCATTTTCTTCCTGTTACTGCTTTCTACCATCCTAACTCCTATTTAATGCGTCACATTTTTCCATAGATCGTGTTGAAGTCATGGTAATTTTTTCCCTCCTTTCTTTCAAAGCGGTATTAGACAATCTGGAAGCAAAAAGAGCATAGCAAAATAGAAAAATAAGTAAAAGAGTTTGAAGAACGTAAGAGACTAAAAGTGGATATTGATATTAAAAACAAATCATAGAGCTGCAAGGGCACACAATTCAAACCCGAAGCTAAAGGAAACCGATGTCAACCAAGTTCAAATCAGAGCAAACTCCATAGAACGGACTTAGCTCACCTCCATGAATAAGTATATAACATGCCCTATATACATCCTCATACTCAATTCCACGTGATGTAGAGATGGAACAATGAGCGTCCTTCCAAAGCCAAAGACACAACATGATCTAATAAAACAACGATGCGCTGATTGCTTCCAAGCTTCTTGTGGCATCATTTGGTTGAGCTAAAGAGTCAAAGGTGTGACGGCATTCGTCCGAGGCCGATAAGCTGATATATACTCTTGGCATATGTTTTCATCCTCATCTGTTTTCATGATCACTTTGAAAACTAGCATTTAGTACACTTGCTCAATGCTGCCTACGTTTTAGTGGTAACATATAGAGATTTGCTCAACTATAAAGTAATGATAAAAATCTTCCAGGTTTTAAACTTCAGCAATACATGTTTAAGATACTAGTTAGATGTCATTAAATTAATCATGAGTAGAAGATCATTTTCCTTACGGCTCACACGGTCCTTTAGGTGAAGCGAAGTTCTCATATAATTGCAGTTCAAGTCCCTGCAAAGAGAAGCGAAGAAAATGTAATGTTTGTTGAATATATCAACTCTTTCGCACTTCATGGCAAAATCTGCATTCACTTACATGGACACAATTACATTAACTGAGGCAAGATTGCACGCAATTATGCTTCAGCAAAAAGATATGCCTCTGCCTCATCCTTGAATTTACCAAACACGCAATTGATACGGATCTGACAGTCTCGGTTCCCTGACAATCTCGGTTCCCGACGTGTTAACTTTTGTTTTCCAGTCGTCGACGCGAAGTGCGAAATGACCATTTGACCGAGCATCCACGGTGACCAATGAGAGCTGCGGTAGATTCAAAGGTCCTTTCGGGTCCAACTAACGACCACCGTGACTCTATTCCTGTAGGGTAATGTACACTACTTTGGAGCCCCGATCGGAATTTCCTGCTTCAGACCTTGAAACACGGCACACTCTTGCGGTCAAAATCGATTTGTCGTAGTTCCCGAGTATGATCGCACGATGTCGCAGCGCAGTCAACTGGAAACCCGACGGGTCTCGTTTCTATTACATACGAGTGCGTCATGTCCCGACTGGGGATCGGAAAAGTCGGACAATTTGAAATCAAGAAACAACCTGCATAGCTCATGTCTTGCGTCTCAGTCGAGAAGCAATCGACGGCCGTGACATGGATGTAATACGTCATCCATGTCAACCCTTCGACGTTGGACAATCTCGAAGATTCGTCCTTGGGCGTCAGGTATGGATCCGCGATGACCTCTCCTACCTCTGAGCCCATCAGGGAGGTAATTCGGCTCCTCCGAGATTCCGTAGCGATGGCGAGCCGCTCTACCCGGTGCAGGCGATAAACATCAACAGCTACCCATGCTATTAAAATTACACACAATTGAATTCAAAAATTGTGTGATGTTGTATTGGATTATTATTGGTTGCACGCATATGACACAACATTGTGTTTTCATGGTTTCGTTTGTAGTATTCCATCTGTCACCGTGTCGTGATCCGTGATTGCAAGCCGCAGCTAGCATCGGCATGTTTACAATAAAAATTAAATCCAACGAATATTATTCCATCATTTCTAAAGTAATAGCTCGACACTACGTACCGTGCTACAGCAACGATCCTCAGCGTTAACATCAGCCCATTTTTCAATCAAAACCTTAACAACCTTATTCAAATTCTCGCATGCTGCCATGTGCAAAGCTGTGCGCTGATCAAAGTCTGCAGCTTTGACATCGGTGTTCTTGGCAGTCATAGCCTCTACACCTCAAAGTCTGCAGCTTTGACATCGGTGTTCTTGGCAGTCATAGCCTGTACACCTCAAAGTCTGCAGCTTTGACATCGGTGTTCTTGGCAGTCATAGCCTGTATACCTCCCACGTCTCCCTTGGATGCGTAGAATAGGAGTTGCAATGTGGCGTCGAGCTGCTCTGCAGAAAGAAGTTTTTGAGACTCCTCTTTGGTGAATTCATTGGGCCGCTTTCCGCTGGTGCTAGCGAAGATTGCCTTAAAAAATTGAATCTCCGCTTAGAGGATTTGTTATTAATGGACCTTAAATGGTATATAACGAAGATTGAAGGTATCAGCCACCTCCGAGCTGGAAAAAATAGAAAGATAACGGACATCAAAACTGCAAACGATCAGCTCTGCGAGGTGACAGAAAAACTGCGAAATTCAAGGAAGATAAGATTCAAGTAATGACAAACCCAGTACTATCTGTCACGTGCTGAATAGAATGAACTTCAAACAATTTTAGACGCGACGATACATCGATTGAGACAACTCAATGTTTGCCATGCTTATAGTCCATTCATTATGAAAACGTAAATTCACTAATAGCAGATTACGAGAGTGTAGAAAAATCAAGACGCATATGATACGTCACAATTGCATGGCAAGCCTAGAGTCTAGCCTGCAGACTTTTAGCAACACTAGCTCGTGTAAACGGTTTCTGATCGGTGTGTTCGGAATCTCATGCCAAAGTTTTGAGACAAAAAGGCATGTATGTTTCAATGTTACTGTCGCCCTGGGAAAATCCTCCGTGCAACGAATCGCAAAAAAGTAAAGGATGCAAGTAAGAGAATCCCTGATAATGCTTTCCAGGATGTTAGCACGGTTAAGACAACAGTAATAAGGCAAGTAAGACACGATCAAAAAAGATGAAACTAATTAAATGAAGAATAGAATGCCGACTGTAATAGGTCTTGCGGTGGAACCCTCCGTCGCCGTCAAGAGCAAAGATCGCGAGGAACTAACTTTTGACAACTGCGTTAGGAATTTACAGCGTAGTCTCAGCCTTTATAATGAAGGATACCGGAAAGGCGAAGGAAGGGGCGAACAAGCGGGTTGTGAAAGAAAAGATTAGCAAAGTTGTGGCTAATGATATAAAGAAGCGTAAGGCTGTTGTGAAAGACGCAAACCCGAATAAGCAAGGGAAATACAAGAAGTCACGAAAGCTGCCAAGAACCAAATCAACTAAAGAGGTCACCAATTCACTTCTCCATGTTTCTTGATGACTCGAAATCCATGAAATTGTGAAGCTTTGGTGATCAGCGTAAAGAACTCATTGTTCCAGCGTTGATTTCAAATTTCATTGGACAAGGTGTACCATCAAAAATGTGCCTGAGTACACTCAGCCTACGATTGAATTTTTGCAAAATACTGCTTCAGGCAGTCAGTCACCCACATTATCCAAGGGAGGATGTACGGAACAACTAGGGGAATCTACACGAAATTGGCACATCATGGTTTCTGATCTCGACAAAGAAATTTAGACGAAGTCGAAGTCCAATGTCAGATAAGCTTTCAGATACCAGCAAACAGGTGTACAACATTGTACTTGACTATCGGAGAAGACACTTCCGCTGTAATAACCCACTAAAGGCTAAAACTGCAATATAGTGGTAGAAAGGTCGAACCCACAGGGACAGAGTAACACACAGGGTACAAAGTGTCACGTTTAACAGACTATTGAGGAGTTTGAATTCTCAGGCGACTCTCACTCCCAGAAATACTGCAAGTGTCCACTCGGAGCGCACTCGGAGGTCGCACAGTGCAGCGTAACACACACACACACACACACCTGAAACTACAGAAACACAACCCAGAGATCCGTTAGGACCTCTACTCAAGATTTCAGGGGGGAAGTCTCTCAAGAGTACACTCAGCGAAGCTGCGGGTAGTGACTTCCAACTCCGGCTTTTACAACGCTTCCACTAGCTTGCTGCTAGCGTAGGGAACCCGGTTTGGACTACCTACTTCGGATCGAAGTCACTCATACGCGGTGAACAACACTCTCAACTCACAAAACGCGCAGAGAACACAGGTCCGCACTGAAGGACTCATTGAGAAACATTCCGGTAACACAACAACAGTCTATTGAAGAGTTTGAATTCTCAGGCACTTGTCATTCCCAGAAATACTACAGGGGCTACCCTCAAGGCACCTGCTGCAGCGTAACCTGAATTTACAACCAAGTCTTACACGAAGTAACAAAACTTCACTTTGGCATTCAGGGGAAAAATCCCAAAGGAGTACAATCAGAAACTGACACTCGAAGGTGTAGGGGCGAAACTATTCAAGTATCTAACTAGTCACTGGCTCTGAGCATCGGCAATCACCCGCAGGTGTAGATCCGAACTACTCAAGTCTCTAACCAATGTACTAGCTCTGAACATTCGGCCGAAGGCCTTCAGCTACAAAATGCGGAACGCTAAGTTGTAACTCCTCGTGCGTGGTGACAGAACTCAAGGACACAAACACGCAGAGGAAATGGGTTCCTGATCTGCACTTCTGAGTTTGGGAAAGAACCCCAGGCAAAACGCCTGGAACTATTTTATACCTTCTAAGTCCTAACTAGCACTACACTGTACTACGCTACACGCCTGCACGGAACCACGCTACACTACACTCCGCGGAACCTGTGCTACGTCTCCTGCGCGACGGACTGCCGCGCACTAACTCCCTACCCTGCCAGTCTTTCGCTCGACTGCGCAGTCCCAACCGCTGCAACGCCGCGGACACCTCCACTTCGAGGGTGGACATGGTATACCGCGCCTTCGACAGAAAAGCGTCGAGCTTCTTTGCTACCTTCCGCCGACTCCTGCTGTCGCCTGTCAACAACCCGGCTGCGCGAAGTTCAAACTCACGTAGTGTGAGTTTCTCCTGCGCCGCCACTTCCCAGTGGGCGTAGCCCTTGAGACAGTGGGCGACACGCCTCGCCGTCTCCTCCTTCGTGCGATCTGCCTCTCGCCTGCGATCCTCTTCAATTACCACTAATTGCGATTCGGCCTCAGCACGCTGCGCTCTCAATTCGCCACACTCTGACTGTAGCCTGCGGATTAAATCCTCATCCACCTGCCGTGCGAGCTGACACTCCGCCAACAACCGCGTCTGTCGCACGAGCTCCTCTGACAGAATCTGATTCTGAGTTTTCTCAGACATCAAATCCTGCGTGGTCTGCAGCACATCCCTGCTGAGCTCTTCCACTCTATGCTTCCACATCCTGTCGAGGGCGTGCGCTTTCCTCTCAAGGTTGTACTACCTCCATAAACAGGCATGCCTCTCCTTCAATTCCCTCAACTCCTGGTCCACCCTAGCTAGTAGCTTGCTGGTGTGGACTTTAGTGCGAGTCCGCCTGCGCACTAATTCGATGTAAGATCCCGGGTGGAGTGGATCGGCGTATTTATCGATTTTGCGATCCAAGTACCTCAGCAACGGAATCACCTGCTCAGAGAGCGCCGCCGCCGGCGCTCCAACAATTTCCTCCTCCTCCTCCTCGGTATCCCCCGCTCCCGACATTTCTTCGGTGGAGCCTCCGTCGTCATCATCCGAGTGGAGAATCTCAGTCGCCATTGATTGCGTCGGCGACTGACCCGAGTGGGGCTGCACGTCGTCGACGTGTGCTGCCTTCGAAGGCACCGCTGCAGCCTCGCTGCTCTTTGCCAAAATGTCTAAGGCGGTGGGCGAATGTGCCCGTGCTACATCCCCGTCGCCCGCTTGTCGGTCTTCAACCGTATCCTCTTTGCCGCCGACGTCCGCCGCATAAGGCGATCGAGCGGAGGGTGTCTGCGCGGGGTTCGATTGTGCATCACGCACCGAAATTTCATCCCGCGGACAGTAAGTCCGCTCCTCTGTCAGTTGCTTCTCCCTCGATCGGTCCGCGGGGGCTGTGCTTGGCCTATGCGCAGGCGCAAATGCCGGCGCCTTGTCCGCCACAGGCGCAGCGCCGCGGACGTCCATCGCCAAAGGCGACATGGCCGGGGGCCGCTCGCCCGATGTCCTTTGGTCCTTAGGCCCTACCGCAGAAGGCGCATCTACCGGCGGATTACCCGCCGATGGTGCGGCCTCCGCATGCTCTCTGCTCGCATCTCCTCGGCCCGAAGGCCCTGGCGCCGAAGGCGCAAATCGCGGCGCGTTGTGCGTCGGAGGGTCTGGCCCCGAAGGCCGGTGTCTCGTAGGCGGATCTTCCGCCGGCTCCTTCCCCTTCCTACGTTGGAATGGGGGTGATTCCTGCCTGTGCACAGGCGGCACGTGTGGAGGTGACCTGTGCACCGGCAAACTGCTTCTTCCCACGCGTAGGCGCAGGTCCACGTCCGCTTGTGGTCGTCTGTCCGCGGAGGCTCGCCTGTGCGCAAACGGAACACCTGTCCGCAACGCACGTGGTAACTCCGGAGGCCCTTGGCCCGTAGGCGGCCTCTCGTCCATCGAGGGTGCAGCGCGGTCCGTTGCTCCTGCGGACGTCCGCGCTCCCTCGTTCCTCTCTGGCGACGCACTTCCTTTCTCTGTGGCAATCGTCGCCGTGTCCGCGCTGTTGGCTGGTAACACCAGCCTGCGCGCCTTCTGCTTCGGCCGGCTGTACGATTCGTACAACGGCCGCGGTCGAATGGGAGCAAAGGGTTCTTGATGCTGCTCTTCTTCGGACTCCTCTCTACACCGCCGCTTCCGCGGCGCTCGTGCTGCAGGAGTATTCCTCCCTTCGTCCCTCCGCCTTGACGGAGTAGAAGTCGGGGACTCCTCTGCATCAGTGTCGACCTCATTCTCCCGCACATACCTCCCGGGATGGTCGACGGACAACGGCGGAAAACGCGCAAGCTCCGCCGCTGTCAAACAATTCCGCTGTCGATAAAAATTGATGAGGAAAGGAGAGAGATGGTTTAGAGTTCCCCCCTTCTTCTCAAAAGCGTGCTGTCGCATCACCCGGTGCAGGATGCTCGCCCAGTGAATTGAAGTTCCCTCGATGATGCACTCCACAAAAGAGACCTGCCACAATGTGATGTAGCAGGCGCGGTGTGGCTGCAGTAATTGCAGCAGTGCTGCGGAAAAAGTCCGGCGGAATCGATCCTTGTAATCGCGGGTCCTGTACCCATTCAAGGTAGACTTCCCCTTCTTGAACAGCTCCACGAATTGTGCCTCTTCCTGCTTGGTCACCTTGACGCTCTCACTATCGAAGAGGAGGTGCCCTGGCATGCCGGCACATCTCCCCAATGCCTGCGCCCAATCTTGGACCGTCCACCGATCAACAAGCGGACGCAATCCGCGCGAAGGTGGTCCCTGTGGCTCTAGCCACTCGCGCACCATATCCCCACAGATGTAGTTCCATCCCCATAGCAAGAAATCGAGCTTTCTTGCTATCAGGCGCTCCTCGAAAGCGCGCAGCCCGTTCTGTGGTAGACGGAGCGGCATCATCCGCAATCGGCCCGGTCTCGTCATTGCGTTCTTGGAGTTCGCCCGCTCGCTCATTCTACTTCCGCTCCGCTCGAGCTCCTTTCTTCCTCGGCACACTCTAATCGCCCTCAATTCCAAATCACGCGCACTCACTTCTCCCTCAATCACCAAGAATTCCTCTCCGCGGCGATGTCGAGAATGCTTAGCAGCCAGCAGATGAACGCGCGCAGCTCGCACTAGAGAATGGAATCGCAAATTCAAGAATGGGACGCCCTCCGCCTCCCGGTCGAAGGTCATGGTCGGCTCTTGCTCGTGGAGGACGACTCAATTGATGGCCGCGCCGGCTCTACGCTGAAACGGTCTCCGCTCCCACGCGCGGCTTCACGCTCCGCCGTCGCCGATTAAACTCTCACGCTCGAATTGGCGAATTTGAACTCCGCGAGCGTACTACGCCGCGGACATGGGTGCGCAGCGCCGAAGGCGGATTTTCCGCCTTGCGCGGTACACTCGTTCGTACCGCTCCTCAGCCAATCCTCTTCTGCCTCGGCGCGCGTGTCCGCATGTCGGACAAAAGTTCAACTCCCGCCTGCGCGCAGGCGGACTCCTTGGCGGATTCTCCGCCGGCGCGGAACTTCACCCTCCTGTGCACAGGCGCTCGCCTGTGCGCAGGCGAAGTCCGTCCGCGTCGATGCGCTGGCGCGTAAGGCGTTGACCGCGGTCAACCGCCTCCGCCCAGACTGTCCGTTCCTTGCCTCTCCGTCGGCGCTCTCGTCGCCGCAACTCCGTCCGTCCAAGAGCGCATCCATCCGTCCCGTCCGTACAGTCCGTACGGTCCGTACGGATTTTACCATTCTGGCGGTTCCTTGCTCGTCCGCGGTGTTGCGCTGGCGCAGAAGGCGCCGTACAATTTCTACCTCACAAGGCGCATTTCTAGGGCCCAAGGCGGATTTTCCGCTGACGCCGAAGCGTCTGTGCGTAGGCAAACTTCGCGCCTACCTCAAAACCCCATTTCGCCTGTGCGCAGGCGAACTTCCTTCGTCCGCGCATAGGACAAAACTTCTCCGCCTGTGCGCAGGCGAAAAACAGAGTATCTTACAACCTTCCTAACTCCCGGAGTCCTCATCCGTTGTTGGCGTTCTTGGGCTCGTTGGAATCAGCGCATCAAGCTCTTTCCAACGAAACCCTAACTAAGTCAAGACGTTTGGGGGTTGACCTAAATATGAAGGATTCCCCTACCGCCGCGGACTCAGCGCCGAAGGCGGGTTTTGTGCCTTGCGCCGTAGGGATCCTAACTGCAGAGCCCGCAGGGAGGGTGGTGCCCGTCCTTACCGCTGCACCCAACTCCTAGATTCTACGAGGTCCCTCGAGAATCTCTGCAATCTTCCGAATTCACTCTGTTTTGATGCACCGAAGGCTATTTACATTGCTGTTGGGGTACAGTTTTCCAAAAATGTTTTAATTTCCCCAAAATTACCAAAAGTGGGGTACCACATCCGCCATAGTGCTAGACGTGGTGTACAGTTGCTGTGACTTCTTGTTCTCACCACAGTTGGAGGAGGAAACACCCTTGCAATAGCAACAGTTTATATTGAAAACAGACCTCTCTACGTATATGCTGATATGAACACCAAATCATGATCCAGAAGGAAATCTTACCAAGAATTGTATGACACTCTGTAAGTTGTGAAA